CCCATTTAAAAAATTAGGTTATTTGTCCTTTTACTGTTGAATGGTAATATGCATATGTTTTGGATGCAAGTCCCATGTCAGATACGTGATTTCCAAGTATTTTCTCCCATTCTGTGGGTTGCTTTTTAGTTTCCACTCATGTTCTTTAACTCACTATAGTGGTTTTATTTAAATAAAGCCCAGTTTGTCTATTCTTTTCTTTTGACTCATGCTTTTGATGCATGTATAAGAAAGCTTTGGCTAATGCAGGTCATGAAGATTTACTCCTATTTTTTTGTTCTAAAAGTTTTATAGTTTTAGCTCATACCTTTAGGTCTATGATCTATTTTAAGTTAGTTTTTATGTATGGCATAGGGAAGAGGTCCAACTTTATTCCTTTGTATGTGGCAATCTAATTGCCCCAGAACTACTGGTTGAAAGACTTCTTTTTCCATTAAATTATCTTGGCTGAAAATGAAATGAACCCAAATTTAAGATTTATTCATTGACTTCAATTGTCTTTCATTGGTCTGTACATCCACTCTTATGCCAGTATAACACTGTCTTGATTACTGTACCTTTGTAGTGAGTTTTCAAATGGGGGAATTGTGAGTCCTCCAGTTTTGATCATCTTTTTTCAATATTGTTTTGGCTACTCTGAGTCCCTTGCATTTCCATACATATTTTAGGATCAGCTTGTACATTTATACTTTTATGCAAAAAAAAAATGCAGCTGGAATTGTGATCGGGATTGCATAAAACTTATAAATCATATTAGAGAGAATTGCCATCTTAACAGTATTAAGTCTTCTGATCCACGAACATTGGATATCTTTCCATTTATTTAGAAATATATTCAATTTCATTCAAAAGTGTTTTATAGCTTTCAGTATAGAAGTTCTACACTTCTCTCATTAAATTCCATAGATATTTGACTCATTTTAAAGCTATTGTAAACCAAATTGCTTTAATTTCACTTTTAGATTGTTCATTGCTAGTGTGTACAGATACGATGGTTGTGTATTGATCTACAACCTTGCTGAACTCATGTATTATTTCTAATAGTATTTCGTAGACTCATGATTTTCTGTATACAATATTATGTCATCTGCATGATCAATTTTCTTCCTTCCCAATCTGGATGTCTTTTCTTTCTTTTTCTTGCCTAATCACCCTGGTTAGACCCTTCAGTACAATGTTGATTAGAAACAGCAAGAGCAGACATCTTTATCTTCTCTCTGTTCTTAGAGGGCGGACATTCAGTCTTTCACCATTAAGTATAATATTAGCTGTGATTTTTTATAGATGACTTTTATTAAGTTGAGGAAGTCCCTTCTGTCCCCAGTTTGCTGATTTTATTTTCCTTTATCATGAAAGGGCGTTAGATTTTTGTCAAATGTTATTTCTACGTCTACTAAGATTACCACATCATTTTTGCTTTTTATTCTATTGATAGGGTATATAATATTAATTGATCTTCAGATGTGAAACCAACCTTGCATTCCTGGGATAAATTCTACTTATCATGGTGTACAATTTTTTTGTATGTTGCTGGATTTGGCTTCCAGTATTTGATTGAACATTTACTAAGATCTTAATTAATTTTTCCTACTTTTTTAATAGTGAGTAAAGTACAATGTATAGAACTACATTCACCAACATCATTGCATTTGAAGATTGATTAAGTATTAAAGATAATCCATAAGGTCTTGGATTATAGTGATTTGTATCTTGCTGAGTCATGGATTTTTCTGAAGCATATGTTTAAATCATATGCTACAAGAGAAGTTAAAAGGTGTCACTTAGCTAGTGAAATTAGCTATAAAATAAGCTTTCAAATATCCAAATGCCTTTACTCTCATTTTATCAGGTATGTTGGGAGCAAAATTATATGCTACAGTTGCAAACTTCATATGAAGCCTGGTCTTCTCAGAAGCTTAATAAAACAGAAGAAAAAAAACACCTGTCCAATATCAAGATACATTGAAAAAATTAAAATATTTATTGGAATCTCTCAGGGATATAAAATGGTATCCAATCCAAATCGCATGAAAAAACTTCTTAAAATCTTTACCCACCCATTCCTTTCTTGTTCAATCCTCAATAGAAACCCACATTTAAGCTTTTCTCTCTTTTCTCCCCATTTTTCCTCCTGTGTATATTCATTTTACTTTTTATTAGAGAAATTGTCCATTTGTGGTCCATATGCCAAATTTGGCCTATGCATGCATTTAATTTGAAAAAATATTTTTAAAGCATTATTAGTCATTAACATTTGAGGAATGACACATGAATATCTATGTATCTCATTTCCCTTGAAAAAGTTGAAAGTTTAACCAAAATGTTGCATTCATTTTATAACTGGCTTATAGTAAATATGACTGCCTCCTTCAAATATGACATGCTCATCGGGTTTGCTACAGTTTTTATCACTCCTTATTGATTACATATAGCCCATTTTACTTTTTATTATATAGGCCTAGTCTCTATAGATATCAGAGTTTGTGATCTATTTTTATGTTACCTTTCCAATGTAAATTAGCCTTTTTAAAAATCTTTCTAATTTTGCAACTTTTTCTATTTATTATACTGAGTAGTATAACAAGAGTTCTGAGAGTCCGTCCCACAGGATCCCTTGAGAATTGTAGAGTCCAGAGTTGAACGGTAGCCTTTGGGGCCTATAAGCTTAATAAAATCCCAGTGGAGATGTTTGTCTGTGAGAAAGGAAGAGTGAATTCAAACAACTGGTTGCAGTAACTTTGTATATGTGAGATTTTTTTGTGGGGAAAGTCCAGCTGCAAGAGAGCATAAAGAGGGAAAATGCTGGGCTGTCTGTGCTTGTGCCTATAGATATTAGAAAAGTAGCGATTTACAAAATTGGTCTTCCTGGAAAAAAGGAAGAGGAGCTGGAAAGAGAAAAACTGGTATTACAGTAGTACCAACAGGGCCTACGAGAAGAAATGACAATTTCTGTGACTGAGCATAAATCAACTGATGAATTGGAACTGTTAATTTTTCTGGAAGTGGCTCTTGTAGGGTTGTGTAAATCTTTGCCTGTGGGGAAAAAAAGCTTGTGCTTACTTTAGTCTTCCTCTTTACTCTGACCTTTAAATCTTCATTTGTATTCTTCAAAGACCTCAATATTATTAGAGATACTGAGACCTTTGTAGTATTTATCTTTACTACGATTAATTTTCTTTCTAAAACATAAGAACTCTCCATTTGCTTCAATAGTGATAGATTCACTTAAAAGGTCAACCTAAAAAAAGACTACAAAAATCAAAGCTGCATTTGAAGTACATGTACAAATTTGGGCTTTTGGATCACATTTTTAGTAATCTAGCTAACGAAAGAAAGTAATAATATGTATGTTATTTGCAAAATAGAGTGAAGACTGGTTGCCTGAATATGGTTATATATTATTATATAACTAGCTTCTGCTTCTTTGTAACCAGTTTAGAAAGCAGATTTACTTAGTAAGATCAATGAAATCATTTTTGATTGATTACACTATTATGATGTCAGCTAGAATTCAATAGTTTAGACCAGATTAGAAGGCATGTTATATACCTCTATGCCACTAATATCATTTGCTCATTTGTGTTCTTAAAACTATCAATACTTGATATGTAGAGCCAAGAACACAGTATATGTGCTTAAACATACACATATATAGACTCAGGACAGTTAATATATGAACTGCTTAGTTTGATTCCTGGCCTATAGTAAGCCTTCAATAAATATTGGCTTTAATTTTTGTAACTCTCACTAATATTCCCCCCCACAAGGTTCTTTACAGTTCCTTGACTCACGAGCCATTGAGTCTAGAGTATTGGGTCCCCCACTCCCTTCCCTTCTTTAGCATACACTTGGCCAAATCTTATTCCTACCCAACTGGCCACAGATAATTGTTGGCCATTTCCAATGCCCCCACTGTTCAAACTGATTTTTGAAAACCCTAAAATAGCAAACAACAGCAAATGTATAATAAGTAATGTTTTATCTCCATTCTTCCTGTTCCAATCAATCTATATGCTCTGCTCCCCACTACCAATCATAATAGGACAAAATCCACTTTTTCAGGCCCTCTTTTCCAGAGCTGGCTGGACCCCATAAAGCATGACTGACCCTAATTGTTTTTATGAGCCTTTATCCTTAGGACTTGAAGATTAGTAGAAACGCCCTGAAGGTGCAGAGGCTCCAGGAACTTACAAAACAAGCCATACCAGACCACAGCGACAGCAGGAGACAAGCTGCAGCCTATACCAGAGAAACTAAAACATCCTGCTCTACAACCCCCCAGTCATCTAATAAAAGCTCAAAGTTCCCACCCCTCAGGCTGGTGCGTTTCTCTGAACTAGCCCTTTCTTGTCCTTGGGAAAGTAAAAGTAAAAGTAAAAATAAAAACTTTTACTCTCTGCACTTTCTTCTCTTTGTGAATTCTTCCACAGCCCGCGTCACCGACCACCCTAACAAATCGGAGATGCATTAGAATTCATATTTAACCGCAAATTCTTGTAAACCTAGGCATCTTCCATACCTACAAAGAAAACTCCAGGGTATAAGAGGGATAATCCCTTTACCCAGGACATGTAGAAGACTTCCCATAGATTTCTGTACAGGGCAGAATTATGCCACTTACAACTTTATGTCTACGTACCTTTTAAGGCTCCAAAGACTAGAAAACCCTCATTGAAAGGTAAGCCTACCAAAATCGGCACATGTTATACTCAAATCCCTGTACGGATATTACTGGACAGGGACCTTCAGGCCGCGCCTGCTGCTGCGCATGTGCCACAAATGCCCGCCTTCCAGCTGGGTGTCTGGTTCATTCTTTCTTTGCAATCCTCCCGCTCTTTCCGAGACTTTGGTTGGAACTTCCCGCTATGGCAGAACTCACCAACCACAAACGACCTTCCTCAGGGCACGCCCCCATCGTCCCCCTCCGGAAACCCGAGTCCGACCTCGCTCACACCCCTCCTTCCTTACGCACGCTGCGCGCAGACGTCTGCTAGTGACGCCGTCGTCGCCCCCGTGCTGACTCCCGCCGGGGGCGCTCCCACTGACCGTTGAGCGGCCTGCGAAATCCGTCCCTAACGACCCTACCCCCTCCGCCAACCGTTCTTGCGGTGGCGACTCATGTGGGGGTTCGGGCTCCTGCGGTCGCCGCAGCTGCTGCTTTTGCTGCCGCATCTCGGAATCGCCGCCTCACGCTCTCAGTCCGGAACCATGAACTTGGAAGGCAGCAGCTCTGCGAGATGCTCCCCCTCCGCGGAGGGGCGTCGGCACCGGTGCCTGCAGTTGTCCACAGTGCCGGGAGCCGATCCACAGCGCAGCAACGAGCTGCTCCTGCTGGTGGCGGCGGAGGTGGAGGGACCTGAACGGCGGGATCTCTCTGGAGACCGGGCGGAGGAGGAGCTGCAACCGCCGCCCCAGCATCACGTTCTCTATTTCCCCGGGGATGTGCAGGTAACCTGGGGCCTGCCTGGGCACCTGTTCCTTCCTCTTGTGCATGTGTGCGAATTTCCCAGATTCTGCCCTCGTAGCTGGCGCCCAGTACCTTACGTCTCTTGAACACTATCACACGTGGTGGCTTCTCCGTTACTCCACGAAATCCAAAACCGCCCCTTCCACACCCCTGATCCCCCTTTTTTATAACCCCAGAGTGAAAGTGTCCTTGGAGAGTTAAGATCTCGAAGAGTCTAGGCTTCAAGGGAGTCGAATTTGAAACAGAAGGAATAAGACAATACCGAATATATGCTCATTCTATGACTTGGTTTCTCGGGTGTGTGTGTGTGTGTGTTGAGCAGGACACAGAGCTGGCTTTTAAATTAACTTAGCGCGTAGTGTTCCACTGTCAGTAATTAAAAAGCAAACAAACAAAATGCGACGAGGGAATGACACTCAATAACCCTAAGAAAGGGAGGGTGGGTGGAGAAAAGGGACAGTACTTGCTAAGCTTATCAATATTTTGATGCTCATCTCAATTTTGTACTTATGTTTTTGTGTGATTTTATCTTCATTATTAATTTTATAGCCGCAGGCAAATAACCGTGGCTATGTTGTCCTGGAAAGTTGGGTGTCAGTCTAGATATTAATCCAGAACCGTTTTGTCTAATACTGAAACCATTAGTTTTATGTAGGAATTTAAGTTAATTAAATAAAATTCAAAATCTAGTTTCTCAGTTTCATTGGCTGCATTTCAGGTGCACAGTAGCAGCTAAGGTTTGTGAGTGTTGTAATGAATAAGGCAAATACAGAAGAATGCTTCTATCATCACAGAAAGTTCTATTGGATAGTGTTGCTGTAGACAGGTAAAGCTATAATATGGTCATTAATCAATATTAATTTATTGTTTTTGAAACTGATGCTTTAAAATGATACCCTTACAAACTTTGTGCCTTGAGTCAAATGAGGATTAAGATATCTGTAGTTTTTTCTCTTATCTTCAAAGTAATTGAGTGATCTAGTTGACTGAATAAATACAATGAAAAAAAAGTAAGATTTAAGAGAAGCTTGATGTAATCAATGCCCTATTGCTCAGTTTGGGAAAATAGCATAACGTTGCTGACAGGCTTCCAGTTTGTGGACCAGCTGTTGTGTACATCTTTAATAATGATTGTGATAGTATGATAACTAACCTTTATTGAGCACCTACTAAGTGTGTTTTTTTTTTAGTGTGCCAGCCAAAGTACAGTACACGTCTTCAAGTGAGATCTAAAAAGTGCTAATTACACTTAGAGTAATACCTCCTTTTGTTTTGACATCATCCGTTTCTTTATGTACCCTGAAATTCCATTAGCTTTCTGGACAGTGACCTACAGTTGATTTATGCATACTATGAAGTACTCTAAAAACCCAGGTCTTTTAGAAAAGAAATAGAGGATAAGGCATCAAAAGGCTTTTAGGCCAAATTGCCCAGGTTCAAACCTTGTGTCAGCACTTTCTAGCTATTACATCTCTGATCAATTGCAGCTACCTCAACTATAAAATAGGAATAATAATTTATAGGATATCAGTGAGGGTTAAATATGTGAATACGCAGTGAATTACAGTTCCTTCCCATCTTCCTAATGACCTTTTTAACTGTGGAGGTACCCTTGTTTTCAGTTCTTGGGCTTTTTCTCTGTCTACTGTTCCTCCCTTAGTGATCTCTGTCAGTCCTGTGGCCCTACGTACTCCCTGTGCTCTGCCAGCCTTCAACACGTGTATCTAGCATGCACATATACTGCAAACTTTAGACTTACCATTTGTATGTGCAGTATTTTATTTTGAATATTTAATAGATATCTTAAACCTACAATCTCTGGATCTTTGCCTCTAAACCTGTTTTTCCTGCAGTCTTCCTCATCTCGGTTACTGGAAACTTCCTTTTTAGTTGCTCAGGTTAGATATCTTGAAGTTATCCTTTAGTCTCTCACCACATCTCTTAATCCACCATCAAAGTGGCTTCAGCTTCTTAATGTATCTAAAAGTGATGACAATTAATCATTTTAAAATGTAAGTCCGATCCTGACACACCTCTCTGCTCAAAGCTCCAAGAGCTCCCCATATCACCCAGAGTGAAAGCCAGAGACCTCTTGATGCCCTACAAGGCCCTTCGGTGTCTTCACCTTTTCCACCTTGCCGATTTTCTGATTATCTCCTTTTTTTCTTTTACTCTGCTCCAGCCACACCAGTCTTCTCCAAATTGTTCAGGATAGGCACACTTCACCTCAAAAGCTTTGAAGATACTGCCCGGAGGAACAGTCTTCCTGCAGATACACGAGGATCCATTACCTCACCTGTTTCAAGTCTTTGCTCAAAAGTTGCCTTCGCACTGAAGCATTTTCTGATCATCCTGTTTAATAATCAAACATAGTAGTTATTTATTTTGTTTTTTGTCTGTCTTCTACTACAGTGTAAGCTTCATGTCTGTTTTCTTCACTGATGAAAACATCATCACAGTGAAGTGTGTGATGCTGTGATTGGTGTGTAGTAGGAGTTCAGTAAATAACTTGAATGAATGAATGAATGAATGTTGCTTTGAACAATGCATGAAATGTTTGGTAAGTCTTGGCTATTATACGAAATGTTTTTAGGCCCAACTTTCCTTATCCATATCTCTGTACGTGATTCTTTTGAGCTTAATGTTTATCCATATGAAATTTACCCTGTTACATACAGGCCATCTTTCTAGTGTATTGATCCTTTTAGAACTATTATTTTGGATTGTATCACATATACATTAAGTAAGTATTCTTTTTATATCTTTATTCATAACTTGGATAAGTATTGAACAGAATAGGGCCAAGCAGGACTTTGCAGGGTATCATTGGAAGCTTTGCCTCATCTTAACATAGATTCATTGTTTGGTGTTAATTGGATCTGGTTGTCCATGTGATGGGGAGTTTTTTTGTCCATGTAATTTTAAAGCCTAATTACATTACTTTCTTGATGTTCCTTTTGAAATCATCTTTTATTGTACAATGTGTCCTGTTTATTTTATACTTGTTCTTTTATCATTTGAATTATAGGAAGGTTGCGGCCATAGTAATTCATATTTCTTTAGGTATCTCTTGATGTTCTTCTTGTCCCTCAGTAATGATTTTGGAGGAAGATCAGGATTCTTTTAAGTAGGCACTTTCTAATTTTCTTGCTTTTTAAAGCCTCCGGATATAGACTTACACATCTCGTTTGTTTTTTCTGTTTTTTTTTAAGAGTAAGCTTACAGTTTGATGAATTTTGACAAATATTACAGTTAGGTAATCAATACCACAGTCATGTTATACAATGTCACCCTAAAAAAGTATCTTGTGTCCCATTTCTGTCAGTCTCTTTTTTCCCTCAGCCCAGGCAGTCACTGATCTGCTTTCTGTCAGCTGGAAGAGCTGCGTAGGGTAAGGTATATGGGAAGGGGTGCAGAGCTTCCTTGGTCTCTCTGGGAGCATCACATTCCAACACTTCCACATGTTGACCCACCCAGAAGCTACCCAAATCTTTATTTGGGGGATCTTTATGGTGGCTTCATCTCATAATCATGTTCTGTCATTAACTCTATTTCCAATCCCTCCCTGGAAAATAGGTAATGGGGCTGAAAGTTCCAAACTTCTGATCACCAGCTCATAATCCAGGAGCCCACCAAGAGTTACCTTATTAGAACAAAAGATATTCCTATCACCCAGGCAATCCCACAGGTTTTAAGAACTCTGTGCCAGGAACCAGAGGCAGAGACCTGTGTGGGGCAGGGGGGCAAAAATAGGTTCACACTTATTCATATGGAAAAATAATAATACAGTAATAAATAATAATGTAAGAATAAACTCTGTATTTCACATACACACAATTGTAAACCCGCTTTTGTCCCACCATGTATGTTTTCTGTTATTTCACACCCAGTCGTGGACCCCTAGGGCTGTGTCAGGCAGCCTTCTTCTTAGACTGCATCCAGTTATGGTCCTTCTGTTTCGATTACTTAGGATATCTGCTTTATGCACCCTTGCCCCGTTTTTGATGAAAGTACAGCTTGTATCCAATCTAGTTCTCTTCACTCTGCTGTAAGACGAGTCCACCTAGCTTAAATCTTGATCATGAATGTCTATAAATTCTTGGAGACACGTGTCATGTTTTCCTAAAAATACCTTCACTTCAGTAGTCGTTTGAAGTGGCCCTGTAAGTTTTTGTGGCTGAGCAAGCATTTGCCCAGGGGGTAAGCGTCATCTCTCCAAGAGATTCTCTTGCCACCTGCCTCACTGGAGATGAGGAGAAGTACAGGGGATTTTTACCCCTACAGGGAGAATGAGCGCATTACACTCCCAGCTGGGATGAAAACTCAAAAGAAAACGGTCTCTTTCTAGTCTTTAGCCTTTTCTGTAGGTTGACAGGGTCATTATCTGGGTTGAAGAACCAGTTCTGGCTACTTACTAGCAAGTCCTATGAGAATGCTTGGTGTCTTTTTTCTAATGGGGAGTACTGAGCCATTGTTTTTCAATCTGGGCTTTAATGTAACCCCATTTTTACATTTTATACTCACAGTTCCTTACTATAAGCTTTTCCCCCCTCTGATGGGGGGGGGGAATAAAACAAACAAGTTTGAGACTTACCACCTCCTGTATGGTAGAGACTCAACAGAGAATCACAAAATCATAAGTAACTATACAAATAGCTGTAGTTTCCAAGAGCTCAGTTTCCTTAACTGTAGAAAGAATTTAGAGGAGTCCTTTCAGATATAAGCTCTTATGATTCTTTTATCATACTCGTATCAAAATGTTTGTGCAGAACGCAATAGCATAATCCATAAAAAATTAAATGATAGCCTTTTAACGTATATCACAAACTATTAATGAGATGCAAACCATTAATGAAGGACTTTGAGTATCCTATTAAGAAAATGATCAAAGGACACGAAAAGAGAATTAACTAAGAAAAGAATGAAAATTGCCAGTAAACAAAGAAAAATACTCAACCTGATTAGGAATCGGGGCATGCAAATTAAATCAAAAGTAAGACATTTTATCATAGTAGGAAAGATTTTTTGAAAAATCAGTGTCAATAGTCAGTGTGGGCCAGGATGGGGGGAAAATAAGTACTTTTTATACTTCCAATGGGAATATAAATTGATATGAATCTTTCTGATGGGAAGTCTAAAAGCTATGGTGCAATTCTATATTTATTGATATGGCATCATACCTACATTTTAAGTGAAAACTGTATTTATAAGCTTGTTGAGAAAAAATTGAAGAATACTCTTGTATACACATACTTGTATATATGCATGTATACTAAAGAAAATGAATGCTAGACACCAATATTTTAATGATTATTTTTAATTGGTGATTTTACAGAGGAGTTTTCTATCTTATGCCTTTGTATATAGACTGAATTTTTTAAGTATGACTTTTATTAGTTTTAGTTTTTAATAGAAAAAATAATGTTCATTTTGCTACAATTGTAGTCCGTTTAGGGCTGTACATTGCAAAGTTAAGTTTCCTTTCATCCCATTCCCTCTAGTCTCCCATTTTCTTCACTGTTACCAGTTTATATGTCCCTCCAGGGATATTCTATGCTGATGCAGACTTGTTTTAAAAAAACACAAATGGTAGCATAATATACACAGGTTTTTTAGTGAAATAGTTTACAACCCATGAGTATTAATAGATCTGCCCCATTCTTTTAAAGCAGAAATGTATATCATACATATTTTTTATGCATATATACAAGTATATGATTGAGATAAACTCCTAGAAGCACAATCACTAAATCAAAAGGGAGGTACATTTAACTGATATTTATAGTACATGACTTAAAAATAAATTCTATATCCAATTCATCAGCAAGTGCTGCTGATTCTATCTTTAAAATATTTTCAACTTAACTACAACTTACTACCTTCAGTTCTACTACATATAGTTCAGTTCTTACTACATAAAGGTGGTTAAGCCACCTTCTCTCATCAGGATTATACTTCAGTAGCCTCGGCAGCTGTTTCCCCTTCACACACGCTAATCCTTTCAGAATATAGGTGGCATCCCTCCACTCCAGACCCTGGAAGAGCAAAAGCAAAAGTTGGCATAATGTCTTACAAGACGAGATCAGCAAGCCCCTCCTCCCGAGCAGCTTTCTGGTTTTTGTTCAGCCCTCTGGTGCTCCTCTGGCCCTTGGTTGCGCCAGGCATGCTTCCACTTTTGCAGTTGCAGTTGCAGTTTCCTGCGCCTGAAATACCATGATTCACTCCCTCTGCCTTCAGGGCTTTCTCAGTTCCCACCTTGTTGGAAATCACCCTGTTTTTCAAATAATAATCTCCCACTCTCTCCAAAACTTTGTACTCCCTTTTCCCTGCTTGGTTTGTAATACTCCATTGCACTTAACCACCATCTGATATTTTGTGCTGTCCAGCCACTAGCCACTTGTGGCTGTTGACCACCTGAAATGTTAGTCTGATCAAGGAAATAATTTATAACTATATTTAACTTTAAATCTAAAAACTAGTAAGTCAGGTCCTGGAAAATTGTTAAGTATATTTGAACAATTTGGTATGTGAATCTAGTTTTTCACCAATAAGTTTTATGAAATCTAAGTTCAGATTAAGTATTTCCAATGAAAATTTAGCACCCAAATTGAGATATGCTATAAATGTAATATAGACACTGCAATGCAGACTTAGTAAGAAAAAGAAATGTAATAATCTCTCAGTAGTACTTTTTTATATGGGTCGTATGTTGAAACAGTAATACTTTGGAATATATTTGGATCTATTTTCACCTGTTAACTTTTTAGTTGTAGTTACTAGAAAATTTTATATGTAGCTCATGTTATATTTCTGTTGGACAGTGTTGCTGCATTTGCTAATGGAGTTGTTTATTGTGTGTCTGTGTACGTAGAATGTGAGCTGCATGTGGACAAGAGTTTAGTCTGTTCTGATCCATACCCAATCAGTAGGTATCCAATAAATTTTATAGAATTAATGAATAAATTTGAATTTTCCTTTTTAAAAAATTACATATGAAAATTAATAGGAAAACAATTTATATACATGTCTTAGAATCTAAACAGTTACTAATACATATAGAATACTTACAAATAAATAAGATCCAATTTAAAAAGGGCAGAAGATATGAACTTGCACAAGTAGACATTCAGGTGGCTAATAAGTATAACAACAGAATTTCATCTTCATTCAGATTTTGAATAAATCCAAACTAGAATATCATTCTGTGCCTATGAAATTTAAGAAAGATAAAAGGACAGTTAATCATATCTCTCTGGAAGACCCTATTATAGTCTGTATAAACAACCTTATGTGATATTCTTCAACCTAGATTTTCCATATCTAGAAATTTAAGGATATATTCACAGGTGTATAAAAAGATTTTTCTATGTTTATTGCAGCTTTATTTGTAAAACAAAAAACAAATCAAACATATAGCATTCAGATTGTTAGAGTAATCCAAATAGGAAGGGGTTCAGGATTGTACATTTGAGAAATATTTTAAAATACTGTGTTGGTCAGAAACTCTAATAAACCAAATTTTTATTTGCAGTTAATGTGTTAAAAATAATAGATTGTATGCTTACTAAATAAAATTTATTAAAAATAGCTGTAATCCTTCTGAAGTATTTTATTATTTAAATTCCTATTATTTAGCTATTATATCTTTTTATTTTATTGAATATTTTTAACATTACCATTTATCCTTCTTATACCCTCTTCCACCTAGCTAGTATGTCTTGGAATCTTGTCTTGATGGATTTGAGACTTAAACTGAAAAAAATGATTTGTTCAAACTTTTATAATCAGAAAGTAATGACAGATTTATAGTTTTCATTTATGGCATATTAACCATAGGTCATAACATCTCAACTTCCTCCACAATAAAAGTGGGAAACTATTTTGTGGAAATAATTTTATATAAATGTATATTTAATCCTTGTTTCATCTTTCTTACCTTTCAGAATTATCATGAAATTATGACTCATCATCCTGAGAATTATCAGTGGGAAAACTGGAGTCTAGAAAATGTTGCCACCATTTTAGCTCATCGGTTCCCCAATAGTTATATTTGGGTGATAAAGTGTTCCCGAATGCATTTGCACAAATTCAGCTGCTATGACAATTTTGTGAAAAGTAATATGTTTGGTGCTCCAGAACACAATACTGACTTTGGAGCTTTTAAGCACCTTTATATGTTATTAGTTAATGCTTTTAACTTAAGTCAGAACAGTTTGCTATCAAAGAAGAATGTGAAAGATTTGAATGAGGACTCCAAAGCATCTAATTGTAGATCTAGTTCTTCTCATACTACTAATGGTTGCCAGGGAGAAAAAGAGAGCCCCTGTGAAAACTTTGATGAGTCTGCCATGAGTTTTTATCCACCATCACTAAATGGTGCTTCTTTTACTTTGATTGGATTCAGTAAAGGTTGTGTTGTTTTGAATCAGTTGCTTTTTGAATTGAAAGAAGCTAAGAAAGACAAGAACATACATGCTTTTATCAACAGCATAAGAACGATGTACTGGCTGGATGGCGGTCATTCTGGAGGAAGCAATACTTGGATTACTTATCCAGAAGTCTTGAAAGAATTTGCGCAAACAGGGATTATTGTTCACACCCATGTAACACCTTACCAAGTACGTGATCCAATGAGATCTTGGATTGGAAAGGAGCACAAGAAATTTGTTCAGATACTTGAAGACTTTGGTATGCAGGTGTCTAGCCACATACATTTTGCAAAGGAAGCTCCTTCCATAGAGAATCATTTCAGGGTTCATGAAGTATTTTGAGACTACAAAAATATTAATGTACTTGTTCAGTGGAAAAGAAGAAGCACTTTGAGTTTTATAAATTCAGATGACGTGTAACTCACAGATAATGCATCCATTTTGGGTGGGAGGGAACACACATTCCTAAAATACAAGTGTAATGTGCAATAGTACTTCTTGCTTCTGAATGTGAACCGTTTTTAATTTGGACTGGGTTAGAGTTAGTTCATTTGGCAACTAAAAGGTGGTTTGTGATAATCCTATGAAAGCTACAAGACCCTTAATAATGAAAGTTACAATAGAGTCCTTATAAAGGGTAATTAAAGTTGTTATTGTTGGAAATAGTTTATTTTCTGAGTGACGTTTAAAACTAATTTTGGTGGCACAGTATTACCAATTAAACAGTAATTACCAATTTTGGCACTGAAAACTTTTGAGTAGAAACACACCATTTCTCTTCAAACAAAGCAAAGGCACACAGATATTTTCCATCATTTTGGAATAACTGTACCCTGCCTCGATGTTTTGTAAACTCATGGAATCATTCTTTAGTGTGCCACCAAGTGTTTTTTCTCAGGAGTCAAAATATAGTTGTTTCCAAATATCCTAGAACATGCAGTAGTGTAAAGTTGGTTTTTAAAAACATTGCACTTAAGCACTGTGGCTAAATTTTTAATTGACAACTTTTGGCTAAGACATTTTGGAGTTTCTTAAATCTTGGCCAAAAACCAGTTCTTTTGGGAAAAATTGTTTTAAAATGAACATAATTATGTAAATTGGGTAAAAATATATTACAGATTGAAAATTTTTTCATATCAGTCTCTTGAGATCAGTTTAGGTAAAATAAATATATAATACTCTATTTGTTAGTGCTCTGTTGACAAGGGGACAGATTCTATAGATCTAAGTCAGCGTTTCTCCAGAAGCAGGATTTTGTCTGCCAAAGAAAGCAGCTTCCTTTGGCCAGAATGCAAAAATTATATTGCTATAGGAAAAGTTATAAGGGAAAAGTTTAAAGACATGATTTAATTTTGGCTCAAAAACTGCATTTGCTTAACACTGCTACATAATTTGGGTGAGGTTTCCTTCTGCCTGTTTTTCTTGACCTAGATAAATACTTTTTGAGAAACCGAGATCTAACTAATGTCAACCAACATTGAACATAGCTGTGTGATTAAAGTGAAAGGTGAGTGGTCACTTTTTAATTTATTTATAATTAGCTTTTGCAGGACATGAAATAAAGCAGGGAAGAAGTAACATGCTGCTTTCAGACTGAAAAACAACTGAAACTAAGTATCTTAATAACCCAGAGGATCTAAATTTATTATAAAACAATAAAGAAAATGTTAATTTCTTGTTTTTCCCCAGAATTATATTTTAATGTCTGTAAGTGTATTCCAGATATTCAGTCTTAAGATAAAGGCTTCTTAGCAAATGCTTAAAAATAACATCTTTTAATTCTATAAATCAGTAGTATCTCTTAACTTTTTTTTGGACAAAGTAGTTTTATTTCTTCACCTTATTTAAATGTTTGACACCAAAAACTTGCAGCAATGAGTCAGCCTGATTCCAGCATTTTATTACCTTAAAGCACCATAATTGGCTTCTTTCAGTGTTTTATAATCCTTGGTTAAATTCGTATGTATTTGATGTAAAATAGCTAAGTTACTACTGAATGCTCTCTTAAGGGGGGAGGGAAAAGGCCTTTATTTTTATATGATTAAAATGGAAAAAGTAGGACTTTCAGCAGGATTCATTAAAAAAAAAAATACCTGAGATATTTAGAAACTTGGGTTCTTTATCCATCCAGTCATGTGAATGCTTGCCTGTTATACGTTGAATAGATATTGAAAATAAGTCACTGGACACCTGGAACTACCATAGCATCTAAATGAGACAGTATTGAAGAATATTTCTTGAATTAAAAATATGTGTTTATCCATATTCAAGTATTTTAATACTTCAAATTTGTTATTCATGTTTAAAACTATTGTAAATGTTAGTGTATTCTTTTGAATTGTGCCTTTGTGTTTGTGTCATGAGTCAACTGAGAAAAGTAACCAAATAATATGGAAGTTACTGCCACAGCATGAATGTACGATTGTATTAAATTTAATCCACAGAAGTCTATTTGGATGTGCTTTATGTTATTTGTTAAAACTTCAGATCATCCTTTGGAAGGAAGCTATTTTCACTTGCTAGTTTGGGTTTGTCTGTGCTTTTATTAACCCCATGTTTTTTTCAAATGACTTTAAACCTCTCTTATAACAGGACATCTCTTTTTTGTCATATTGCTCCACAAAAATTTGCATTATTTTCATTTTTTCGGTTGGATTTCCTAGCGAACAAAATCTCTCAAAAATAAGTTCTTCCTTTTCTGTACTAATTATCTCAGGTATCTGTATTCCTTTAGCTCTCCTTAAGAGACTTAGTCAGAATATAGTGACTTTTTTGTTACGTACCCACCAAGGGCAAGGAAAGTCTAGGCACTAAGGACACAGTACTGACAAAACAGTTCCAGCATGTGAGTACAGGAATGTGTAAGGCTTAAGAGAGAAAATATTCTTAAAAGAGCTATTGTGTTCTACTTTAAGGGCCTTTAAGAAAAACAAGCTTTTTTAGAAGATACACATGTAGATAAACCTCATCTGTAAATTAAGATTGCTTTTTACAGAGGCAGAGAAGCTAGTAGCTTTAAGATGGTCATTTTAGTATTTCATTTAATAGAACTTTTAAAAATAGAGTACAACTTAAGTGTATTTAAGGCATTCAAACACTTCGTAGCCAGTATGCTTGAAATGAGACTTTAAGGTAACACCAGAGGAAAGTGGCTGACTGCCAATCTACGCTAGTTCCTCCTGAGTACATCTGTCTTTCAGCAGTGGGAGAAGGAGCCACAGCAGTACAGTTCCAACTCCACCCAGACCAGTGTTCCAGCTTCCCACCTTTTTTTTTTTTCCTCCGTCAACTTAACTTCAGCTTAGATATGTGTTGGCAACTTTAGATAGGTGAGAGAAAAGCCTTGTTATTAAAGTTCTTTCCAAATGTTCACATTAGCTAGCTGAAATTCCAAAGAACAGAAAGATACAAAACAAGCATGGTTGACTTTGTTTCCCTTGTTTTGATCCATGAAAATAACAAGTTAATTTCTGAATAATTACATAGAATTCCAAGGCAATTACATACCAAGACAAATACTATTAATGTTCATGAAAAGGTAGGAATTACAACCTACACACATATTTTTAAAGTGTACTTATTTATAATAAAGGGCAAAAACAAATTCAAATACACAATTGCAGATTCACCTTCCAGCTACTTGTCTAACCTCAGAAGCAGGCACTATTACTGGTTTCTTGAATATCTTTGCAGAGATAATTCTGTGTATATACAAATATGGGGTGAGCAAAAGGTTTATAGTTGTAAATGCATAAAAGTTTACTATTATTGTATTATAACTGTAAACCTACTTTTGCTCATCCCTGTATGTTTACTTACAGCATAAATGGCAGCATCCCACACCCAGTTTTGGTCCTGGTTCTTAATTACCTTGGAAAAGTTCTTTGCCAGTACATGTATGTGTACGTATACACACACACACACATATCTGCCTCATTCTTTGGCTGCACAGTATTCCATTTTTCTACTACACTCTCTTGTCTACCTGTTCATCATCATTCATCTTAGGCCTTGTCTATGTAGCAAGCAATACAATGAAGAGTTTCTGGCAGAGGAAACCTATTCCTTTACAGGTCAGGTCAAGCCCCCAAACTGTAGCCAAAGAATAACTATGTAATATATTCATAAGTATCTGAGATGAGCTGTACTTAAGGAAGAAAGAATGGAGAATTACTAATCTGGTAATCACCACGACTGTAATTCCAATTTCTTTCACCCAACTGTATAAGTCTAGACAGTCATTTAAGCAATCTGGATTGATTAGGTGATTTCTAAAATCCCTTTCAGCAGTAAAATTTGGAATTCCTGAGCAGTTAGAGCTCACAAATACCATGTGATATTCTGTACATTAAAATATATCTCATTTGGTCTCAACCAGGTAGGCAAAAAGGATTAAAATAAACATCAACATTAAAAATTATAGCCAGGGTGATAAACTTAAAACTTCCTAAAATGTTCATCTCAAGCTTTCTAGATAAAATTCACCTCAAATTTCTCAGCAGAGGAATATAATGCAAGCTTGCACCAATTATATGTCTAGCCTTAAACTATCTCCTTGTATTTTTGTAGCAACCCTATAAAGTATAAGTTCAATTTTAAAGATGAAGAAAATAAGTTTCATAGATTAACCTGCTTAAAGGTCATTCATTCTGCTTCCTAAATAAAACTGAACTGGAATATTCATTGAACAAATTATGTTTTACTTCCACGCTTTCTTTGTGGCTATATACTTTGCACTGATTGTCTTACTGGTACAAAAAAAAAATAGGCAAAATGAAGGAGGGTTTATTAACAAGCTGACTATAAATACTGTTCAAATTAACAGAGGTTTTATTTTCTATTCCTTGCAAAGGGGAAAAAAAAGTCTTTTTAAAAGGTCTTTGCTTACATAAGTAACCACATATCAAAAATCTAGTAGTTAGATCTAGCTTAATAGAACAATTCCTTTTCTGACACTCTTCACTTGTGTTGACCTGAGTTACTGAAATATCTCTTCTCAAAGACTTCTAGGAAGTTCAGAGCAATTTTTATATATTTTTCCTTTACTATTGTAATTTTCTTTTCATACCTGAAATTAATCCAACCATAAACACAGGATGTGAGCCAGAAGGGACTGGCATGAAATATTCAAAGGAATGAAAAGCAAGGACCTACAAGACTACTCAGCAAGGCTATCATTTAAAATTGAAGGAGAAATAAAGAGCTGCCCAGATAAGAAAAAGCTAAGGGAGTCTGTTACCACTAAACCAGTATTATAAGCCCATTCCTCCCACCTCCACTTCTGGCAATCACCAATCTGCTCTCTGTACAGAGTGAACCCTAATGTAAACTACTGACCTTTAGTTAGTAAAATTAAAAATAAACACAGGATATGACTACATGAATTATTTTCAACAGAGGAAATTATTTTCTCTAAAATGCACCTAATATGTATATTCAGATTGCTTTAGATGGGCACATTTGTGTTCAGTAAATCCATTTTGTCTTTAATGACAATGCAAATAATTACCAGGTCCAAACAAAGAGCAGCACAGATCTACATACAATGGCTCATTGTCTTCAATGATAACACTGTTGGGATATCTCATGTATTAAAAATTCTTTTTGAAATAGGAGAAAGGTGGAAAAGCATTTATTGAGGAAAACTTTAATTCAGTGAAAACTTAGCCTTCGGTATAAATTAAAACTGATTTGAATATTGCTCTGACGTTTAAAAACTAGGGGGCAGGCTTGACTTACACTGGATGCCCAGAAAAACCAGGATCAGATTAAACATTTGTGTGAATCACAGAACTAGTAATCCAAATTATCATCTGGTAATCCAACTGTTCTCAACCCTAATTATGGATTAAAACAACCTATAAGGTCTATCAAATACAGATACCTATCTAAGTCTATAAAGTTTGGACCTAGGCATGTATTTTTAGGAACTCAAAAGATTAATGTAGTAGACATTGTTGGCTGCCCGCCTTTTTTCCTTTTTTGCCAGAATTCTGATGTGAAAAATCACCCATTCTGCCTACATGTGTCTTAGAGGAAGAAAATTCTACTTCCAGCTCAAGTAGAATGGACTGGGTTAAGGGTTCGTTCATACCACTTGCTACCAACTGGCTCAGCAAGTGGTATGGTCTAACCACATCAATGAGACCCAATGATTTGGGTAGCAAATCATAGTAGCAGGTTTTGGAATTTTCCCATATTAAGAGGGGGCCCATGGAATCCAGCCTGACTCCTCCACAGCATGTAAGTGAAGGTGCACTTGGCCTGAACTGCTACTGGTAACCATTCCACGAAGGCAGCCGCCTTAGGATTCTGCCAATGCTGCAGCTGAAGACGAGGGAAAAAACCCAGACGTTCTGAACAACACAGCTGATCACTGGATGAGAAACACCGCAGCCTGATATGTCAGTAGATTTCGTGTATTACAACTCAATACCTTGTCTTGTCATTTTAAGTTAAATTTTTAGGGTTCTTTTTTTTGCATCTGAAAGCTGAAAAGTGGCCCCAGTACAGCATTCTTTGAGCCGTAATGATCTGTATTAAGTAGATACCATGGGAACACCCCTTTGTATTTAAACTGTAAAATCTGAAATTGATTTTCCTCTTTTAACAAAGAATTATATTTTTCTAATATTTGAGCTTAACTGTATTTAAGTTCGTATGTATTGCATTCACTTCATTATTTACTCAAAGTTTTTGCTGTAGGCTTTGTCTTGTATGTGTAAGACCATTCGCCGTGCATAGAAGTCCCTGTATTCCTCTGGTAATTCAGCCAGTGTTTTCAAGGCTCTGTCCAAAATTTGTGCAGCTCTTGACGCTGCAGTAGGATCTTTATTTCCATAGGTATCTGTTTTATCATAGCATTCAGATGGAAGGTGCTTCCAAAAGACATTCACTCCCACTCCAAACTCTTCAGAAATTACATTATGGAACCATAAAGCTGAGGGGGAAAATGTAGTAAGTTAAAAATAATACTTACAGTTAAAGAAAAACCAAAATGTCACTGAAATATCACGAATTGCATATACCCAATGTAAGAAATAATTCTTATAACTAGATCCCTTCGTTAGCACACTCAGCAGCTTTTAACACAATCATTTTAACTTTTATGAATTGCCAAGCAATTTCAAGTGTCAATAGCACAACCCTACATTTCAAATTTTTGTAAATAGCAATCTTTACTTTTTAACTTGAAAAACATAATAAAGTTGTATTTGTTTTGTAGTTCTGTGATTTGGGGCTGTGTTTTGTTTATGCTTCTGAGTCACCCAACCACGTCAACAGTGTTTACTTTTTGCCCCTGGCTGGTATGGCTCATTGGATTGAGTGCCAAGCTGCAAACCAAAGGGTCGTCAGTTCGATTCCCAGTCAGCGCATGCCTGGATTGTGGGCCAGGTGCCCAACTGGGGGGATGTGAGAGGCAACTAATTTATTGATATATCTCTCACACATTGATGTTTCTCTCCCTCCCCTCCCCTCTCTCTAAAAATAAATAAAATCTTTTTTTGAAAAGTATTTATTTTTTGTACACAGAACATTTCAATTATTTGAAGAGTATTTCTGACCTTTTCTGACTCGGTAGAATACTTTCATTCTCAAAGACTTCCTGTTCAAGCTGCATCTGCTTTTCTAACTTACTTAAATTTGCCTTCACTGTAGCCTCCTCAGTTTGATATTTCTAATGCAATTATAATTGTATTTCAGCTCTTTTAAAATAAGTATGTTAAACAAAAGCAAATACAGGGTTGGGAAAAAGTGGGCTGGTAGTTTTGAGTATGCAAAACAATTCCCATGTTTTTATTTATTAATTATTGTATTATTTATTTGTATTATAATTATAAACCTACAAAATACAGGCCCAGCCCTGTATTTTGGTGAAGGAGAGGATGAGTAATCTTTATCCTATTACACATATAGCTAATGAATTTATTACTTCCACTAGAAAGTTTACTTCTTTGCTTTCACTTGAGTGGAAATATTTTCAATAATACTAAGGCAATACCATAATATAAAAAAGGTAAAATACTATCACATCAAAAAATGTTTTAATTTTGGAAACAAACTCAAAAACTACCATAGGAAAAACAAAAGTTTAAAATATTTTGATTTGTAAAACTAGTTTTCAAACATGGTTTTAATCTTAACCACTCTTTCTTTCAGAATCTTTTTTTAATTCAATGTAAAAAATGCTAGCCATTTTGTTCAATTTAAAGGTGGAGCTTTTAATTTTATTTCAAAATATATGCAAATAGAGCATTTCTGGCTTTTTTTTATTTTTTAAAAATGTAGACAGAATAATGGAAAACTATAGCCCTTGACCATGCTCTAAACAGGAAAATAATGTAAATAATGGCACAGATTTAAAGATTAGTGTGCTTGTTGTTTTCAATGAATATAAGAAGACGACAATGTATCAGATTTTTATAGGCAACCAATTATGTGAAGGACATTGTACCAGGTCCCTTGGGGCACACAAAGATAAACCAAACATGGTTCCTTGTCCTCAAGGAATTTATAATCTGTCCTCAAGTGAGATCAACGTATTTTTATTAATACTTTTTACTTAATTCTATCACCAAAAAGAGGTATTAATGTTTACAAATATATTAACTTAGATATGGGAAAATAACTATATATATAGAATTTATTAATGTAACCATTTCATCTTAATTATGATTTTTATGACTTTCAGGTATTTCCTTTAGAATAATTATAGATGTTTATTGAAGAGGATGCCTATTTATTGTATAAGAAATTTACAATAATTCAGACTGTAGAAAAATAACAAAGACAGGTGTGGGAGATTATGACATTTTTATATTTTATAAAATCTGTTTTGGCTTTGAAATATATTTACCACTTCTTGGAAAGAATGACATAGTTCTGAAAATACATAAGTATTTTAAAATAAAATGATTAAAAAGAACAACCTGGTATAATCTTTTCCCTGATATAAAGCATTTTGCTTTATGTCACTTAACAAAATAACTTGAGTATAATAATATATTTATAGGTTGCCTTTGAAAAACAAGGCTCCATTTTATAAGAATTTGTCTAAGCATACTTTAAACACACAAACACACGGCTGTGTATAAACATCACCTTGTACAGGACAGGATACATATAACAAACATGCTTTAGTGTATTTACAAATAGCAGTCACAGAGGTCCAGAATTCTTACCAGGAATGAATAATACATCTCCAGCTTTAAGGGAACATTCATATCTTCTAGCCTTTGAAAACAGTGGATATTTCGCTAAGTCTGGGTTATCTATATTCAGTACTTCTGATTTAGTACCTGAAAATTTCCGAAAGAGGATAATATATATTGAGCAAAATTAGCATTTTAAAAAACATAATTACAAATATAAATTTGAAAACTTGTTCTCTTCTGTACAATTACTTATGCACCCACACTGTGAAAACTACTATTCTGAAACCTAAGACCTTTTTCAATGACCCACCCTTTATCTATGACAACTGACATCCATGTAATGCAATTAAGAAAATCAGTAAATCTCATTCTTCCTACAGTCTGTCATTACATGTATACATGTACACAATGGAGAACACCATACGTTTTAATTAAGAAGAAGCCACAAAATGTTTTTTTATGAGAATAAAGAGATTTCTCAAAAACAAGTACCAAGTAAGCCAGACTTTGAAAACTTAAAAAAAAATACCTGATAAATACAAATATTGGGCATCTCGAGGACTGAACAGTACAACACGCTTCTTTCCTGTCACTTGTATTAAGAAGTTATCCATTACCTAAAGACCAAAAAAAACTTAAGAATGAACAGTACCTAAAATTTACAGAAATAGAACCAATGGTATTCCAAACAGTTAACTATAAATCCTATCCTTTAATAAGACTTGTCTCAGATTATCTAAAACTCTTACAGTAATGAAAACATTTGTATCCCAAACACAAATGCTCCTTTATTAAAGATATTTCTGTAGCACTCCCTTAAAATGCAAAGGGCTGGCAAGCCATTAGGAAATGTGAAGTCAGAACTGTGTGCCTTGCCCCACTATGATGGGGGTTGTTACACCTATCTGAGGCTCCCCTTGCTGGTATTCTCATGTATTACTTACCTGTCAAAGAATGCTACAGGGCCAATGTTCAACAACAGGTTAAAAGCACTTAGAAAATTAGGTGTTGGGAAAATACAATGCAGTGTGGCAACCACTGCTCTTTTAATAATTTCTGATATGTGGCCAACATAATTTGACTACAGGCATCTTGATTTCTAAATTATTTCTACAGGACTTGCCAATTTCCTTGGCATAGTTATTGACGGAGCACTTTGACTTTTCCTGTGCATGCATGGGTGCACTTCATAGGTGAAGAATGTGGAAAATGTTGGAAGGCAGAGCTACATTAATTCTGATCTAAGGAATTAAATGCTAAAAAAAAATATATTCATGATTATTTACATATCACTCCCATGTAAGGATTTCTCATTTTACCACTAACCCTTTACTTACATAAACCTTAACTACGGAATAACTATATACTAGCATTCCTTTGACTTATTTTTAATATAAGAAAAGCTTTATCATATTCCATTATAAGTCAATATAAAACACATACTACTTAAAAATATAGTCAGAGTTCAGTTAAAAATGTATTCAAGTTATCATATCATTTGCTCACTACATATAACATTTATGTAAAACTTAAAAAACAATAAGCTATGATTTTTATGTCTATTTCACTTAACTATAAAGTTCCTATGTTAAAATCCTCCCAAAAGGTCCTCAGCTGGAATTAAGAACACTCTTATAAAAATATAGTTGGATTTAGAACTTTAAAAAAATACCTTTATAAACCCATTAGGTATTGCTTTAACTTCTTAAATTTCTCTACCCAACACCAAACCATACACAATGCTAGCTTTTTTTAAGTTTTAAAAATATATGCATATATTTAAGCAAGTAAAATTATTAACACCATAGAATAAATGATGGAGATGAATAATTACATATCCTGCTTGTCAACAAATACAGTAGACATCTGACATCCTAAGACCTCCAGATTCCCCAAATTATAACTTGAAAGGGCTCTCCACGAGCTTCTGCCGCCCTTCTCCTGAATGAGAGTTCCATTTAGTCATGTGTATCATTCAACACCCTCATACCACAGCCTTGTCACCTCTCCCACTTTCACCACTTGGCCCCTCATCTGGTGGTCATTTTCACATGTACAAAAAAAAACCACTTCATAAAACTCTGTGTGTGTGTACGTAGTGAGGAATAAAGAACAAAACCACAGAGAAATGCAAATGTGATTAACTAGGCTTTGGCATTAGCTAGTAACTCACTCCCAGATCACCACCTTGCAGAGCACCTGTTTTCAAATGTCCTGTTTCAACAAATTACATGTTGAACTCCTTCAGGGTACCCTACAGAGAGCTGAAACAGTAACTGTTAACTCTATAAATGCTAAGATCTACAGAGACTTTAGATTTCTCATTTATGTAGCATACATCATAGTGGGTCCAAAGTTGTAATCCTGGGGAGCTAATTCGAAAAACACTGGAGAAGAACTGCTCCTCTTTGAAGAATCTTGGAAACTTAATATCTCCTTCCAATAAAGGAAACTGCTTTCTGATATCTGCAACATCCTGCATTGAGAGAAACAGTAAGAATTTTAATAAACACAACACTGGCGTAATCCTTATTGTACCTAAGGCTGCCATCAGAAGCTATGATATAAAGGAGGAATGGAATAAAACTCTGTTCACCGCTTTAAAGCACTAGGATGTGACCAGAGCCAACGAGTGAAGGAATACACAGTTACAAGAATGCAGATTCAACAAAACCACTACTGTTAAGCTTAGTGTGCTTCATTTATAGTTCCTCCTACTTTAAGCAAGATATAGACAATTGTCATCTAATATTCAGTATTTTAAGTTTAGGAGTCAACAACTTGAATGTTACCAGCTGTGTAAAGCCTGTGGTTCTATTGAGGGAGGAGAATTACAAAAGGTAAATAACTAAATGGTGACATAAATGGAAAAAATATTCTTAATCATTTTAGGGACCACTCCTTAACATTGCAGCCATATTAATTAGATTCCAAATGCATAGCAAAGCTTATATAATGAATTATTCAGATTTTTAAAAATTATTTAAGATTCTATTAGCTAAATTGCAATCCATAAAGTATACAGTAGAAAGAATTTAACTGTGTAGAAAAGTTACAGTAGATGACTTTAAACACTAAGATTCTATGGTCCTACTTAAAAAGTAAGTTGTTAACTTTTAATAATTTTACTTATTCAAGGACATGAATCACTGAAAAAAGAATGAACAAGGATAAAACAGGTGACATGTCAGGCAGTAGGTACAAAAACTGTAGTGCCAGTTAAAGCATATGTATCCATTTACGCTTATATTTTCACATTCAGAAGTCTTACCTTTCTAGGGTCTTCCCCAAGTGACCGTAAGTAGTACTTCTCATCCTTAAACATCCCAAAGAAAAAATAACATCAATATTCACTTAAAAATATTAGAAAGTAAAAATGAAAGAAAACAAGTTTTAAAACCTAACCCAGCTGTTTTCGAAAAAGCTGTTTTCTTACTCTTTCTAGTAATGCTCTCTGGTGGCCATATGAAGAAATGTCTTTATATACTGTTTGAAATAATGACTGGATCCACAAAACATAAGTAAAATAAATTCTAAAAGCAATATATACATACCACATCTGAAACCACAATGCTCAATTTAGACTTTATACTTCAAATTACTTAGACTCTTAAAAGAATTCCCATGTGTATAATACACATGATCTCAAGGTATTGCTGAGTGCCAACAACAAACTTCTGTATATAATACAAATGGACAATAGGGGATAAATAAAATATACTTTAATAATTTTTTAAATCTAGAACACTGTATTTTATCAAGCTATGCCTATCCCTGATTATATAAATTGTCAAGTCAAATCCTCAAGTGTAAGCTCCTATATGAATGATAGTGTTATAGTATTAAATTTGATATTTCAAAAAATTATCAATTATACTGCACCAAGTAGCTATATATTAGGGAACTGCCTGAACTGTAAACCACTGCTGCTGCTGGCCTCTCCTGTGAGAAGAGAACTGGGAGACACTGGGTGGAGCACAGGGCGGGCCAAGGCGAGGGTTCTGCTGCTGGTGCACCTGCACGGCCACCACGGCACAAACTTCAGAAAACATCTTACTTCCCGTAGCAGCATGTCATAAATCTGTGATCATAAATGTGCCACATCAGGTAAATTCCATACATTTATTGCTCGCTAAAAATGTTTCAAATTATGTTCTTCAAATTTCTAAGAGTTTTCTACCAGGATTTAATAGTATTTCAGGATTTAAGAATAAGCTCACGTGGCAGATACAGAGATGCACTTCTCAGACCCCTCTTTAAGAAAGAACCCACTGCTAAGCCCAAAGGAGTGTGATTAACTTACAGCTGCCGCCTGTTTACTCCTTCAGGTCCACCCCAGCCTTTGAACCAAGGTCATGACCACCTTGGGGTAGCCCAACTAATGGCTGAGCAAAAGGCCTACTTCCTTCGGAGCCCACAACTCCTCTAACAGACAGCCGTTGCTTAGGAGTTCCATGATATTTAAGGTGAGTTATTTAAAGGAGGACTATAATGTAAATAAGTAAACATTTTTGAATAAATGTTACAGCAAATACAAAAAATCACATTAATAGTAACTAACAATAGTAAAACATAGTAGTAGTTCTCCATTAGCATTTTTAACTTGGTGTATCAAACCAAAGCACTTTCAAAGGAAGTAATGCTATTAGCTAACATTTAGTGAGTAGTTACTAATCAGACACTGTGCTAATGATTTCTCTATGGATTTTATGTAGTTAATTGTCAAAAAAAACCTATGTTATTCATATTTTATAGGTGAGTATACTGAGGCACAGAAAAATAATTTGGCCAAGGTGTGAGATCTAATGAACAACAGGACCAGTATCTACGGCATACACAACCAAACCCGAAGAGTGGCTTTCAGAGAAGAACACAGCTCTTGTATATACAATATTCTCTTATAAGAAAGTAATGCTTTCTGAAACACCCGTTAAAACCAATTACCTCAGAAATGAAGAATTCTTTATGCTTTTCTTCAGCTGCCCTTTGAACCAATTTGTCAAAAGGTAAAGTTCTGAAATAAACACAAAAGAATTCTTGGACTTAATAAATGAGTTAATACTCTAATCACTATATTAACATACAGAAGTTTGTTGAAGTTAGATATGGCCTTCTGTTTTACAGTATCCATAATTTTTATTATAACCTGTATGTGGAATTCTAAATTTTCAAAATTCATTTAACAGTGTGCCTATTTGACAGAGGTGGTCTGAAATTTCACTTTCAAAAATTAAAGCTTTTTAAATCTGTGTTCAGATGAATCCTTCTCATATGTTGATATCCCCTTTCCCAAGTTACTGTTAGAAAAATGTGTCTACGGTGTCTGGTTCCCTTTGGAAACAAACACACACTTTGAACCTCTTGCTGCTCTCTTTCCAGGTGTCCTGGCAAAACCCACCCGGTGACAAGGGGCAAGTGCAAGTGCTCCTCGGGAAGAGACGGGGCAGGAGGGGATGGGACCGGGCCCGCCCTCACTGGGCGTCCGTCCTGCCTTTCGGCACCACCGCGGCACAGAGGCCTGTGGCACTGCTCTAGTCCACCGGCACCACCCTGTGTCGTGATAAGGCTCCTGAGGAATATCTCAAGGTGAATTTCAGTGAAGTGACAGTTTTCTTCTTCTTCAATATCTCTGCACACATGCCTGGCTCCTTCCACCCAGGTGAACAGGGCTGAACATCATAGAAGCAAAGTTCATTTCCTTTACCTCAGGTTCTTGAGCCTCAAGGGTTACTTTCTCCTCAGGTCCCATCCTACCCCTTCAATCTTCTCAAATCAAAAATACTGCCCCCCACATAAGGATGATTCCTTATCAGTTCCATCAGACAACAAAGTCCTCAAAAGCACTGGGTCAAAAGCCTCTCCCTTCCTCCAGCACTGCACCCCAGCCTCCAAACCTGATAAAAAGTTAGAATTGTTTACTCTTATTTTCCGTTTGAAATCTGTACTGGGGCAAAACCTGTTCTCCTCCTCTGTAAGATGACCTTAGGCTTACTTTCTCCTAGCAATGTTTTCCTACAAACATATTTGGTTGAGATAAATGTGGAATGTCAACTGTGACATCAGGTAATACGGTTCACTGTAACATGGTCCCTGACTGGTGAACTATGTCTGACTAGAAAGCTGGTGGTGGAATATAAGTACTTGTTAGGAAGCAGGGGATTTGGCCTCCTTGTGTGCAGTGTAACTCTTGCGACTGAGTATACCCCTTGGGGGAACCTAGAAAATAAGTTCATGGCTTGTTTTGTGCTACTGGTATCTGAGCTAGGGTGTTTTTGCACTTACTTTTACAGTCAAGTTTCCTGACAGCTAAGCTGTTATGGTTGGGAGGCAAAAAATGGCTCCTGGATTGGTATAAGGGCTCCTACTGACACTATCCACTAGGTTGCTGTTTTCTGCAAAGCCAAGTGCATCTGATGCCAGAGTATGGACTACTGGGTCCTGTGAGCATGACTGTCAATCTGAACTCAAGGACACTGCTGGTAATCTTGAGGGAGCACTGCAAGAGAGACAGAAGGAGTCTGCCATCTACACAAACCAATCTCCTATATAGTTTCTGGCTAATTATATCAACAAATTTACTTAGCATCTTCCTATTCAATGTTTTCCATCTCTGACTCCACCATACACCCCCATCCACGCCAAAGCCTTTTTGAAGAGTAGAGGAGTAACATGGAAGCCTTCCTCTGTAACTGGTGCACTTGCCTGGGCTTAGCTTTTTTACTAAGGAGAACCCAGAAGTGTTTCAAGACCTTTGTAAGAACAGGGCAGATAGAGTGGTCAGTCCATAAAAGAACAGGGGTGCCCCGCCACCTTTCTCCCTTAGGTAGTGGTGCCTGTCAGAGGTTCTGCATTAGCAAAGCTGAGAGAAGGGAAACTGAAGTACATGCATTGGGAAGTTCCTTGGCTCTGAGATCTTATCGACCCTATGCATGTTTCAAAAGAGAGCACCTGCTACTGAAGTTCCACTCGTCTGGACTGGCATACGGTCTGGGACGGGAGCTGGTATGAAAGAGGGGTTAGGACCATGGGCTTCTGTGAAGTTGGCAGATCTGGGGGCAAGTCCATCTTCAGCTACGTGAACTCAGATAAGTTACTCAATGTTCTTAAGCCTCTGTTTGCTCATCTGTATAATTAGCATTAAACTGAAGTGCCAATACTGATAAATGTGTGTAGGATTTCCTACTTTCTAGTCTGTGGCCTAGATGCCTCCCTTCTTTCCTACTCCCCATTAACTGCTAAAAGTAACTAAACCTACTTTTTTCTTGCACTAAATAAATAATCTTGCAGCTCTTTAGTACCTCTAGTGAAAGGTTTAGAGGAAGCTAGCATAAGAACTATTACATAATGTATGTGCTTCAAAAACAAGCTTTATAAAGTTTATACACATCAAGACAATTCAAGAGGAAGTTTCAATAACCATTCGCTATGGCAATGGACTCTCTGGAAAATAAACATCGTTAACCACAGGCTGAAAAATGCTGATCATTCCAGCACTTTCTTCCACTTTAATTAATGAAAAATGAAAACTTCTTACAACTGGAAAATTTTATGGCAATTAAATTCAATTCACTGGCCTATTAAAAACCAAAACTATAATGATGAATATTCAAAGGATCAAAAACTGAGAAATGCTTTGGCAAGCTGCTTTATGAGCTTGGAAAACTAATGAGAAAGGAATGGCCCTGGACATTAGAAGCTCTGTTGAACTCATCTCTAAACTCTGGAAGCAACAGTGAGCGCTAACTCCCTTTAAACATTAGGCTACTGTGAGCTACACAGTTTTTAATAGACTGAATTCGCTGGGAACAACACATGCTCAGAATGTGAAAGTCGTTTGTTTTTTAATTTAACATTTTTACCGAAACTCATGGGAATAAGTAGTATATTAAAACTGCAAGACTACAGCATTTCAAATTTAAACATCCAGCAGCTTTTAACTACATCTTATTTACTTTTATGAGATCCTAAAACAAAAAAAAAATGACAACCATGAGGAAAACTTAAAGTACTTAAGGTTATTTTGTCAAAAGACAAAATTAAGTATGACTTCTTTAAAGTTATCTGAATTGATAAAAGATTACACCAAATAAAGCAACTACTTGCCCTACATTTCTGGAGAGGACGAAAGAAAACATAGGCTTATGCTTATCTAAAAACAATGTGGACTTGGAAAAAATAGGTTATGAAGGAAAGCTTTAGAATTTATTACTCTCGGTAATTTTTAATACAGTAGGATCAATTAACGAAGCACTGAGTGAATACAGCACAGCCGACTTCAGGTGTAATCTAACTCTAGTTAGGACAATTCTGTTTCTTCAATGGTTCCAGAGGGTATCAGGTGTACACCCCAAGTAAAAAATGGTGTTTGGAAATGTCTCTGTGTAATTATGTAAACTCAGAATTCTTGTCTTTTAAAAGTCATTGTTCAAAAATTAGTAAGCTATTCCATGATTATATCAAACTAGCCGAAAGATGGTATGGCCTTTGTATAATAATGCAAAAATATTTTCAAGGTTTAAAACAAGTTATGTGAATCCCCAAAGTAAACCTCGGAAGAAAATACCTATACACAAAGTTCTTACTAATGAAGTCCATCTGGGCAACGGCGGCAACGTGAATCTTCACTTCTTTCCTCCCTCCAACCTGAGTTAGGTAATCCACTGTCCATTTGCTTGTGCATGTCCCCAAATCAATTCCTTCCAACACCAGAGGTTTTCTCTGCACATGGGGGGAAAGCACAAAAAAAATTTAGGGAAAATCAACAATATATCATGAGTTGTATCTGGCAATAGAGGGACAAAAATAAAAAGAAATGATCTTGATTCCAAGACACTCAAACTCTAACCTTTTGACAACTCAGCTAGCTGTAACTAAAGTAGGAAGAGGACGCGTGCAAATGCTCAGAACAAAACACTGACCCCATCAACAGCTAAGAGATAAGAAAAGATGAGTATTATTTACAGCATTCTCATGCACGTTACTTATGACTGATTAACATTTGTACTTCTTAATCAAATATTGTAACTTTTTATTTTGATACCATTTCAAACTTACAGAAAGGCTGCAAGAGAATTACAAAGAACTCCCATCACGCTCTACACTTATTCACCAACTGTTTACCTAACATGCTGACCAGTTTCCTTTGTCATTCATTGGCTCTTATTCGCACTATGTGTATACAGAAAACATATTATTAAAAGTAATTTAATTTTTTCTGAACTATTTCAGGGTTAAGTTGCTGATACCATACTCCTTTATCTCTAAAAACTTGAGTATATTTTCTGTGAACAAAGACATTATCTTATATATCTTATATCAAAATTACAGTTTACACCAATATACTATTATCTAATCCACAGTCCATATCCAAATTCTGCTCACTGTCCTAATGATATCCTTGTAGTTATTTTTCCCGTTTCTGAGATACCACATTGCATTTAGTTGCCAAGTGTCTTTTAATGTGGAACAGTTCCTCAGCCTTTTCTTCCATGACCTTGACATTTTTTAAGAGTACAGACCAGTTATTTTGGTGAAGGCCCTTTGGTTTGGGCTCATCTGATGCTTCATAATTAGATTCAAATTATGCATTTTTGGAAGGAATGTACCACAGAAGCCACGTTGTGTCCTTCTCAGTGCAACACACCAGGTAACACACGCACAATATTCTGATCTACTATTTGTGATGAAAACCTACTACTTTCATCAACTGGTACTTCCTGCCTGAGTCAAGTACTTTTAGGGGTAAAGCTGTGATTTTTACATATTCCATCATCATCTATATGTATTAGGTGGTAGTCTAATGTCAAAATGAGCTCTAACTTCTCCATTTATTTTATTCACTGGGTTATAAGCTACTGATAGAATTTTGATGCTGAAACTATCCCAGATTTGGCCAGTAGAAGCCCCTTCAAGCTGGCTCTTGTGACTTTTTCTCAGAGTGCTTCTTTATTTTTAAGGCAAAATAGTACAATCCAACACCCTTTTTTACTTTCTCTGTCTCAGCCCTACAGTCATTTCTTCAAGCTACTGTTTCTTTCAGTGGAGAATGTTATTTAACCATCACGTGGGTGCTAGGTGTGTTCACTGCGAGTGGGGTGACATTACTTCTCAGCGGACAGAGCCAGGAAATATAAAGACATATACACACACAACAGAAATGCTTATACCTACATCCACTTCTCTCTCTCAAATATACTATATACACACACACACTTAATGGATGTGTATGGATGAACCATGATAATTTAAATACTATCTTATATCACAGGATTCATTCTAATATTTGTTTATGTATTTGTAACTCCCTTCTAATAGTGGGAAACCAGGTTCCTATCATACTCAATGTTTAACCAACTGCACATGCCCAGAATTTGCAATAAGTACTTTCACAATTGCTGTAATACCACTATAAAAAATAAGTCTCACTACAGTTCAGTATTTATTTATAGTTCTTTTGTCTTTAGACTGAGAACACAAAATCAAAGTATTATATTAAAAATTGAATTGGGTTACTCCTCATCTTCCCTATTACTCACATTCACCTGTTATTTTTTTAATGTTCCACATTAGAGTTTTGTCTTTTAAAGATTTTATGTAATTATTTTTAGATAGAGGGGAAAGGAAGGAGGGAGAGAAACATCAGTGTGTAGTTGCTTCCTGTACACCCCCCGCTGGGGACTTGGCACACAACACAGGCACATGCCCTTACTGGGAATCGAACCAGTGACCTCTTGGTTCACAGGCCAGCACTCAATCCACTGAACTACACCAGCCAGGGCTAGAGTTTTGTCTTTTAAACATTATTCATTCTTGTTGATTTTATTACTATTTTAGAATGTAAAACATTAATGTGCCCCCCAAATCAAAACTATACAAAAAGATCACCCCATCCCAATTCTTTCACCTTGTACTCACTCATCCCCTATAACCAGTCTCATTAATTTCTTGCTTATGGTTCTTGTATTTCATTTCTGCAGAGTAATCAAAAACATATAAACTTCCTTATTTCCCCTCCATTTTTTTACACAAGAAGTGTCATATCATGTATTTTCTTTTGTAGCCTGTGCTTGTTTTTTTAATTCAAAACTGTATCTTGGAAATCACTGCTTAGTTCAGATTATCTCCCTCATTCTTTTTTCATACTTTAGTATACTGTAATACAAATGCACAGTGTAATCACTCTCCTATCCACTCTCCATAGGTTTTTAGGTAATTTGCAATATTTTCCAAGTATAATTTACAAATGAACACTATTTAGATATTTTCATATTGTAGAAGGTATATACCCAGAGTAAATTTCGGAGTAACTGCAGATCAGAAAGTAAACAGTCACAGTTTTGTTAGACATGTCAAATTCCTCTCCACAGGGTTGTGCCACGTCACACAGTGTGACAGTTTTTTCAGAGCCTCACCAAGAGTACACTATTAAAGCCTTTTAATTTTTGCCAATATGACAGGTAGGAAATGGTATCTTAGTGTAGCTTTCATTTCTCTTAAGAGGCAGAGTTGAACATCTTTTCACACATTTAAATGGCATTTTTAGCTTTTTATTTTTTGTTAACTGCTCACTTGTAATCAGATTTTGGCCTTTCCCCACTGAATTTTTGAAAGTTTTTAACATACATGGACTTTCACTGCCCTTTTATAAAATACATGCTGTGAATCCCACCCCCCAATTTGTATTTTATGTACTTAAATTTTAATCTTTTCTATTATCACACCCGAATTCTGAGTTATAGTCAGAAAGCCCTTTTTTAGACCTATATCAAAATTACAAACACATCAAAATTACAACTAAAATAGAGAACTACCATCACTCAGAACCATCAGAAATCAAGCTGAATGGAAGTCTGACCACTATGGAATTAAAGAAACCACATCCATGAAGACTGGTAAGAGGGGCAGAGATGCAGAATGGGCTGTGCCCACACAAAGGGCACACCTTGAATACCCAGCCATGTGTGATGGATAAAAATTCGGTAGGGATATATTGGAAGCGAAGAGTCTCAGCCCCACACCAGGCCACCGAGCCCTAGGTTCCTGTGCCAGGAAGATAAGTCCCCCAAACTTCTGGCTGTGAAAACCAGTGGGGATTGAGTCAGTGCAAGAAAATTCTAGAGTTCCAAGCAGTTCCCCTTAAAGAACCTATACACGGACTTACTGACTCACTCCCTCTGAGCTCCAGCACCAGGGTAGCAGCTTGAAAGGCACCAGTAGCATAAAGGAAGGAACTGAATCATCTGGCATCAAGGCAGAAGCGGGGGGTCAGCTTTCTCCCAAGCAGAAAGGCGGTCAGAGGCCATCTTCCCTTTTCTCATTTTCCCTTCCCTCCAAAGAGCCACAGACCTAGCAGGCAGGTGCCATATCTGAGTCTCCATCAACCTGGCAAACATTGTTTGCCCTGCCTGAAGATCCCACTCAACTTATAAGCCCACCCAAACTGTTAACAGTTACTTTTTAACATGAATGGCTGGTCTTGGCTCATGCTTCACAACTTCCTAAATCCTGTCAAACAAGCAACAGCAGGCTTCACTGAGCCCCTAGCTCCCATACTTCTAGCTACGTGGCCCAGGCCTAGTACTAGCAGCAACCAGCCTAGATTCACAGCTTGGCTTCACCTAGAAATCTCCAGCACAAGTAGCAACCATCTCAGATTGCTATATAGCTCAGGCAGGGTGGCCCCGGGCAGAACACAAGTTGGAGATGACCTTGGCCTGCATCACTTCAGAAACCCCAGAGCCTGTGCACCCAGTTGACAGCTGCAGACCATGCTGGAGCACCAATACCCTGCCCCTACACAGCTGATTCTCCACAGAGGGTGGAGGTTGGCAGTTAAGTGCTCACAGCCAGTTCTTACAATTAACTGGCCTGTGTAAATTCCTCTCATTGACCTGCCAACAGCCAACAAGGCTCAACTACAAGAGGAAAGTGTACTGAGCCCACACAAAGGGCACACCTTGAATACCCAGCTTGGGTGATAGGCAAGGCTGTGCCACTGGACCCTACAGGACACCTACTACATTAGGCCACACTACTAAGACACGGAGTCGGTCACAGCAACTCTACCTAATACACAGAAACAAACACAGGGAGGCTGTCAAAACAAAGAGACAAAGAAACATGACCCAAATGAAAGAGCATATCAACCCTCCAGAAAAAGAACTAAACACAACAGAGCTATGCAATCTATCAGATGCAGAATTCAAGAAACACTGATTATAAGGAGGCTTAAGGAACTTAGGACCTTAACAGCATAAAAAAGATCCAGTCAGAAAGGATACTGAGTAATATAAAGAACAACTTACAGGGAAACAACATTAAGAGTGGATGAAGCCAAGAATCAAGTCAATGATTTGGAACCTAAGGATGCAAAAAACAAACAATCAGAACAAAAAGAAAAAAGAATCCAAAAAACATAGTGTGAGCAGCCCCTGAAACATCTTAAAGTGTTCCAACCTTTGCATCATAGGGATGCCAAAAGGAGAAAAGCAAGAGCAAGAAATGGGAAATTTATTTGAAAAAATAATGAAAGAAAACTTCCCTAATTTAGCAAAAGATATGCAAGTCCAGGAAGCACAGACAATTCCAAACAAGATGGATGCAAAGAGGTCCACTCCAAGACACATCATAATTAAAGTGCTAAAGCTTAAAGATAAAGAGAGAATCTTAAAAGCTGCAAGAGAAAAGCAGTTAGTTACCTATAAGGGAATTCCCTTAAGCCTGTCAGCTGGTTTCTCAAAAGAAGCTTTGCAGACTAGACGGGATTCTTAAGAAATGTTCAATATCATGAAAGGCATGGACCTACAGCCAAGAGTGCTCTACCCAGCAAAGCTATCATTTGGAATCGAAGGGCAGATAAATAGCTTCCCAGGCAAGAAATAACTAAAGGAATTCATAATCACTAAGCTATTACATAAAATGTTACAGGAACTTATTTAAGAAAAAGATCAAAACTATGAACAATAAAATGGCAATAAATAGGTATCTACCAAGAACTGAATCTCAAAAACAAACTAAGCAAACAAGAACAGAGACAAAATCATGGATACAGACCACGTTTTGGTGGTTGACAAATGAGGTAGGGTATGGGAGAATAGGTCAAGAGGTAATGGGTGAGAAAGTAAAATAGGTAAGTTACAGAACAGCCAGGGGAATGTAAAGTATATTATAGGAAATGGAGTAGCCAAAGAACTTATACACAGGACCATGGACATGAACAATGTTGGGAGGATTGCCTGAGGGAGTGGGGGGGAGTGCCAGAAAGGGGGGGAAAGGGAAAGATTGGGACAACTGTAATAGCATATTCAATAAAATACAACTTTAAAAAATGAAACAAAAAAAGTTCACCTTTGCCCCAGCAATTTTTGAACTGGCCAGTCCATCACATACTAAATTTCCATATGAATAAAAACTTATTTCTGGATATATATTTGTGTATATATTCCCAGAAGACATATATATCACCAGACTTTCTATTCTATTCCTCTGGTCTGTGTATTCATGCACCTGCACCATGCTCTTATCAAAAATGTTTGGAAATCTGATAAGACTATGCCCCCTCACAGCTTTAGTGTTTCCAAGCAGAAAGGTCTTGCTTTGCAATTTTGTTAGCTTTGTGTTATCACATTGTGACCAGAGTGTTATTAGTAATTTCTCACTTTATGAAACTTAGTGGTGCTTTCTTTGTGATATTATATGTCCTGTCTGGGAAGATTAAATTTAAAAATACCTTTTGTTATGCATCTTACATAGCACTTCCACATATACTCATATTACTACACTGAAAGCATCTTACACTAACACACCCTAAGGTGAGGGGAGGTGGACAACAACCCATCCAGCACCAGCCCGCCAAATGAATGAGGGTTTGAATCATCTGTAGGATTCAATTAAAAGAAAACTCCTAAAAGAAAAGAAAAACTTTATCCTGACTTTTATAATACTCAGAACTATACCTCTATGATTTACCTTCATAGAGGTAAATATCAAGTAAAATTACTGGGTATATTTTCTACCATAAGCCCAGTAACTACAAGCCCTTTTTTAGGGCTTTCTTTTCTTTTCTTTTTTTTAATATTTTATTTATTTATCTTTAGGGGGAAGGGAAGGAGAGAGGGAGAGAAACATCAATGTATGGTTGCCTTTTGTGCATCCCCTGCTGGGAACTGGCCTGCAACCCAGGCATGTGCCCTGACTAGGAATTGAACCGCGATTGTCTGGTTCGCAGGCCCTCGCTCAATCCACTGAGCTACACCAGCCAGGGACTTTCTTTTCTTTAAATATCTGCTGGACTCTACTCTCGGTTTTCCAGAAGCTTGGACTCCCTCACAAAGCACTGCAAATAAAAATACATTTTTCTCTTAAAATGTTTTCTGAGATTCGAATTACACATATAAGAGACCCCAACGTTTGAACTAAAACCCAGATTAGTTCTAATCCAAGCCCAAGAGCAGTGTTAATTTCCCCGGGGTGACTCCCATTGCTTCCCTTTGGCTCAGTACAGTGAAAAAAATTACTCCTTTAAATCCAGTAACTCGAGTGGAATGACAGGTGCTGTTCGCTTCAATAGGGGAGCCTCAAAACACAATAGGAAAGCAGGAGGGGGCTGGGGCATGGAAGTAGAGAAAACTTCCTTCACTGCCAAGGAAACGGCAGAAGGCTTCGTAATAAAACTCTGGCAAGGCTGCTCTTCGCAGTGAGCAGTGCTTATTAAGGCAAAACGTTCCTCGCACTCAGCTCTTCGCCCTCATCCGTCTCCCCAGAAACGTGGAGCTTTCTCAGATGAGCCCGTTGACATCCCCATGCACCCTCTCCCTTGGCCGCAGAGCTAACCAGCCATCTTCAGCCGCCCTCTCCCCACACTCTGGCTGGCAAGAAACAAGTTCGGAGCTACCCAAGGGGTAGGGCCTGGTATCCCCTGGCTTCCCAGGTTCGGCGCAGCGCCAGTGCCTCACCTGAGGGTAGAGATGCTGCATGAAATGCTCCTGCGAAACACCCTCCAGCCGGGGTACCTCCAGGTGATGCCCGGCCATGGTGGCGCAAACTCCCCTTCCTCAGTAACACGTTCTCCTAAATCCGATCCGCCCGGAAACACGACTTGGAGAGAAAAGGGCCGGGAGGCAGCTGAACTAGAGAGAGTGGAGGGTTTGGAGCGCTGGGCTCAGGGGCTCCGTGCATTGTATTGCTGAAAAGCATGGATGGGGCGGACTCACCAGAGGTGGCAGCAACAGGCCAGTTCTACTCTTCAGCCTCTTTTTCCAAACCCAGCTTAGGCGGTGGTTTCCCACCGACTTTCTTTTGATTGTGCACAAGCAAGCACAGGGGTGAAAGGTCACAAAAATGGCGCTGGCCGTTCGTCTTTTACCCCGCCTGCTTTTTTGTGGGTCTCTGCCAGGCAGAGCCGCCAGACCCCGGATCTCTCGAGCAGCCGAAGTGAGGCCGCCGTTGGCTGGATTTTGCTGCATCTGCCGCCGCCACCACCTCGGCTCAAGGACGGCCCCTTTTCTTTCAGTCACTTGGGTCTCGGCCAGTCCACTGCCTGCTCCGGGCCCCCAGCGTCCCCTGCTCAGCTCTCCGGGACTTGCCGCAGCCCTCCCGGTTTTTTCTGTCGGCTCTCGGCGCAGCTACAGCACTGAGGAGCAGCCCCAGCAACGCCAGAAAACCAAGATGTTCATTCTGGGCTTCTCCAACCCCATCAACTGGATTCGGACTCGAATTTACGCCTTCCTTATCTGGGCCTATTTCGACAAAGAGTTCAACATCACAGAATTCTCAGAGGGAGCGAAGCAGGTTTGTTTATTTCCCTGGAGTTGTCCTGTACGCCTCTCATGCAGCCAACTATTACACGCGAAAGTGTTTAGCAGTGAAGTGTCCCCACTGGCTCCCACATTATCAAACCTTAGTAGTGACCCATTGGCCTCTTCTTGACTTTAAATTTACCCTCTGCTTCTTTTTCCTCGTCGCCGAGGCCCTCCTTGTTGATGGAGACACCAGGATGAAGTCCTCCAATTACCTTTTCCACTCTACAAGTTTTGAATCAGATAGAAATGGATTCAAAGCCCATTTCTACCTCTCAAAAGTAACGTGGCTTTGTCTTTTCTGTACATGGCTTTATGCAAAATGAAGAAGACAATGTCTGGCACATTGTAGGTACTCCATAAATGTATGCTGAATAAATGAATGAGTGGGTAGGACTGTTTTGAAGAGTAAATGAGATAACATTTCTAAAATGCATAATGTGATTTTGGGTAGAACATCAAAACTTTCTGCCAGCTATTGTCAGAGCTCCTCTGCCCTTTATTCCTCGTACCCTCATTCCCACCTCTCCCCATCATAGTCCTAGAGAATTTTCTCCTTTCGAGGATTTGCTAAGACAATCTGGTCACTGCTAGGTGCACAGCACCCTGAACACTGAGAAAAGGCTTTGGGTGAGTCATTCCCCTGACCATGACAGTTCTGTCCCTCTTTCTGAGTGGCTGGTAATACTCCACCTTAACTCTTGCCACATGTAGGTCACTTTGGTTCCTGAGATTTGCAGGTTTTGTGTATACATGCATTTTTCTACGATGCAAGTCCATCCATAACTTCCTTTTGAACCTTTTAGAGAGTTTGTCATCCCCAAACATTTTTGAACTATTGATAAACAGTAGCAGTCATAGTTTATTTTGCCCTTCATACCTCCATGATTTTAAAATTATGTCATCAATGTAATCATTTTACAGTTGAGTGTATACTGGTATTGATATATTTACTCCTAATCTATAAACACATTTATATTATGTGACCTGTTAGTTGTAAATTAAATGTTATTATGTGTCAATATAAATTCCTTCCCTGATTCAAAAACTCTTCACTGATTGATATTGATTTAAAAATTAAAAAGCAAAGAGAACTTGATTAATAGCATCATAAGGGGTAAACCTTTGCTCATGTCAGTCTCAAAACCTTTTATCCATGCAGATAAATTTGCATGATCCTGCTGTTCTCTACAATGCCCACTGCTGACATGTGAACTTGTCTACCTCATGACACATACATGGCTGAGCTTATTTATGTGTTAATAAGGAATGGAAATCATCTCCCTACCATAGGCAGGAGTTAGGTCTTAGTCCCTATTTGCTTTTGAATGCAGAAGCATGGGATACTTGTTAGTCACTCTGATCTTGGAAGTCCTCCAACTCTCAGCTATTTTAGCCTCCCTCACTTTGCTATTAAGTAGCATCTCCACCCCTTCATCAGCCAGTCTGTGTGCAGTTTTGTCTCTTCTAAATCAATTTCTGTGTATTTAACTATTCTGATGTCCAAAAAGGATGTTGAGTCATCCATGGCATATTTTTGGCAGTTTCCTTAAATTACTGGTTACTTAACATATCTTTCAAATCAAACATTAGTTCTTCAATGCCTGAGATTTAAAAAGACAGGGCTAAAAATCCTTCTCCCTACTAGATGTCAAAATACAACTGTACCTTCCTTTGCATGAGTGTGATTTGAGGCCTCGGGAATAATCTGGTACAAAAACATTAGTGTATTTGCTCTCATGGGTTGTACTTGCCCTTTCTCCTTAGGCTGACCTCCCTGCAATAAGGTGTTATCTTGGATTGTGATTAACAATTTTTACAATTTAATTTTTTTTAATTATAGGACATGAAAATGAAAAGGCAACTTAGGGCTTATTATTCTAGTCCAATGCTATTTCACAGATGAGAAAATTAAGTTCTAGAAAAGTGTACTGATTGGTCCAGAGATGTATAGCTAGTGACTGCTGAGGTACACTGTCTTGTGACCACTCCACAAGCAATCTTGGTTACCCAGAGTCACTGAAATTGAGATGGTTAAGTACAGTCTGGGCAAGCATTTTATTTATCACCTGAGCCAGGAGAATAAGTGACCCAGTGCTGTAAGTGGCTTTATTACCTCCACAGACCACGCTCCCCATTAGTATGTGTATATGACATGCTGTCTTCTCTATTACTGCCATCAAACCACATTCATCACATTGTAGCTTTTACTATGAAAAACAGGGGTATTTCCTAGATGCCTCTAGGCTAGATATTCCTTATCAGTCGAGTTTACGATAGTTCCAATGCTGACTCCTCAGATTTAATGCAGACACCAACCTAGTCCCAGCCTCCCATACTTTTGATCAACTAGCTATAAATTGGGAGTTCTCCTATCCCCCAATAGTTTGCTAGAATGGCTCGCAGAACTCAGGAAACCTCTTTACTTGCTATTTCCAGTTCATTTTAAAGGAACTGCCTGATGGAAGAGATGCACATGTCAAGGTATGTGGGAAGGGGTGTGGAGTCTCCATGCCCTCTGCAAGTGTGCAGTCTTCCCGCATCAACAAGGGTCACCAACCTGGAACCTCTCCTCATAATTGTTTCCCTTAGGGGTTTTATACAGGTTCAGTTATGTAGGCATGATTAATTAAATCATTGGCCTTTGGTGATTAACTCACCCCAGTACCATATTCTCCCTGTAAGTCTAGAGGTGGGCCTGAAAATTCCAGACCTCTAACCACAGCCAGCCCCCGTCTTCTAAGAGTCACCTCATTAGCCTGAACTCAGGAATGGTTGAACAGGCTAGGAGCTCTGTCTGAACCAGGAACCAGAATGCAGACCCAGTATATATTTCTTATATCACAGTATCAAACGACGGATATGTACATACTGAACTCTCCCCTCTTACAGCCTTCTAGCCACATTAATCACTTACTCTTTGTTTTCCTGTATTTTGCTTGCACATTTTAGCTTTGCTGTACAAAAGGGGGCTATTTCCTAGAAGCCTCTTTAGGTTGGACACTTTTTTATCATCAAAGCCTCTTTTTATCAGGGCAGCCTCCGAATGGTTCATTATTATCATGTAGGATAATTTGCTCAGGTGTAATCTTTCTTGACCACACAAACTGGAGTCCCACAGTTGGGCTTCAGTATGATGGTTGTGGTCTTCGGTTCTTTTTACCAAAGTATTACCCATCTTCCACACATGAAGGCTTACTAAAATATGTAAGGGTCTCTTACCCCTGAGGTGTTTGCAAGGGGTCCTTGAATCCATTTGGACTTGTGCATTTTCTCAAAATTCAGCTTCATTATAGTAGTTTGTTATGAGTGCCATAACAAAATACCACACTCTGCATTGCTCGAACCACAGAAGTTTATTTTCTCATAGTTCTGGAGGCTTGAAGTTCAAGATCAAGGGGTTGGCAGGCTTGGTTTCTTCTGAGGCCTCTTTCCGTTGGTTGCAGGAGCTGCCTTCTTTATGTGTCCTCGCGTGGTTTTTTCCCTCTGGGCACAGGTGCTCCCTGGTGTCTCCTTGAGTGTCCAGATTTCCCCTTACGAGACCACTGGTTAGATTCGATTAGGGCCCACCCTCATTTACATAGTCATCCCTTTAAAGGCCCCATCCAAATATGATCACCTTCTGAAGTACTGGTATCTCAGCATACGAATTCGGGGAGAACACAGTTCAGCCCATAATAATTATGGGATGTTGTCTCTGACATGCCTGTGCGACCTCTTTCTCCTTCCAGTTCTTCCGTTTTCCCCTTTGAGGTTCCTTCCTTTGGGAAGTCCTCTCTGGTTCTCCCAGACCGGCTTACGTACCGAGCTCTTCTGCATGCTCCCACATCCTCTTGTTCTCACCCCTGTCGTGATTCTTGAACTTGTCTGTTTACTTGCCTTCTCCTCCTTACCTGAAGACAGGTCAGGCCTCATGTGCAGTTTATTTCTCACTGCTAGCGATGTGGAGGATTGCAGGGGGTTCCCCTCGCTTCAAGGTGACACCTCATACATCACAGTCTAAACACTGCAGTAGGCTGTGTCAGCTCGTGATCTTTTCTGCCACTTGTCCAAACCTGCCTTCTCTAGCTCAGTGGTTCACACCACATTACTGTGAAAGGAAATATGCAGGAGGATTTTTATTGCGGGCCTGCTGTGTACACCCCGCGTTATCTTTCCCAGGTCCTGAGAGTGGATCCGCAGTCAGCAGTGTGCCTACTTACTACCGTGCGGGTGGGGAGACCGCAGGGGGAAAGAAAAGCCAGCCGACCAGGGGTTGGGCCTGACGTTGTCTTAGTGCTCGACATCGTCTATCACCTTTATGTTAAAATAGTCTTTGTTACACTTAGCCGTTTAAGAACTGTACATTGTATGGTATTTTGCCTGGTGTTTTGAAATAATAATCACCACCCTCCCTCCACTAATTTTTTTTAAGGCTTTCGCACATGTGTCCAAGTTGCTGTCAGAGTGTAAATTTGATTTGTTGGAAGAACTTGTAGCCAGAGAGGTAAAATATACCTTTAATTTTCCTTTAAAAATAAATGTATTATTGCCTTGCAATCAAATGATGTATAGTACATTGTCCTTATATATACTTAAAAATACTGTGTGTGCCATCAGCCAGAGTCGAGTCCCTGTGTCATTCCTTCTGGGTACTTTGGGTTTCATAAAAGTGTAGAATGACTTGCTACTAAGGCATAAGTAAGTAAATATGATGTCTCTCAGTTGTTCTCATGTTAGACTGGTCTGTTAGAAATTACCTCACCTAATAACTAGATGGTTTTCAGCCTTGCTGTTGAAGTTGAGTAAATATGGTAGTAAATTTAAAAATAAGACTAGAAAAATACATTTCATGAACAAAGCTTTCAGAAACTCAAGAGGCGAATTACAGTTTGCTTTTTCCAAACTTAGGTGCTACAAGTATTGAAAGAAAAGGTTACTTCTCTACCTGACAACCACAAAAATGCCCTCGCTGCTGACATAGATGAAATTGTGTACACGTCAACAGGAGACATCTCCATTTACTACGATGACAAAGGTAATGCTGGGCCACAGGCCACTGTAAATGACTCACAGTTGTCCAGGTAAGCAAAATCGTGGGAGTTTGTTGGTGGACGTGGATATGTATAGGACTTCAGGGAAAATAATACGTTCTTTGAAGACCGAGCCCTGGGAGAGTTCAGGCACAGTAGAGCTTCTCATGCCCTTCTATCCGGAGCTTTTCCGTACTGCTCTTTAATTCACAGGAGAGAGCGTTGTCACTTAGGTTGCTGAAAAGAGTCTGTCCAGGACGAGCTACTCCCATGTCTCAAACTAAAAATACTTGTCTTTCAGATTTCCTAACTCGAAGGAAACAAGTGAGCATTTTAAATGTCCAGCCGTAGGTTAAATAGAAGGAGTAAAGGAAAAAGTAGATAGTATCAGCTAAAGACTGTTTTGAAAGTAAGCTTAACTGCAGAACTCCCAAGCTGCATTTACCTGGAGACAGTGAAAAAAGTTGAAAGGGACTGCAGTGGTGATTCGGTTCGTCTTCTTGTCCGGTGCACTCATTTTCCCTGCAGCATCCTGAAAACGCGCTGATTGATTTACTCCTGCTGCAGACACTTGCGTGTGTACTGTGTGCCAGGCACATAGGAAATTAGCTTTTGCTTACACAGGGAATTCTGATTTAAAACATTTGTAAAAGTACTTGTACATGTTTTTCATAATTACTTTTTCTTTCCTAATATTTTAAATTGCACCTTTGTACCTCAGTTACTACCTGATTTTTACTTAAGACGTTGTTGTATTCACTGGGCATCGCAAAGTGAATTAGGATGGAACAGAAGTCTTCCTTCTTTCTGGCAGTTGGTATTGATTACCTAGCAGCAAGAAATGTTTTTCCCCCTCATTTTTGGTTTGACAATAAGTATCTTTTATAATTTCAGAAAGTGCCACAAATTGAAAATAACGTGTATGGTACACTTAATAAGTAGTACATGCTCACTAAATAGTAGCTATTATTACTGTGATTCAGAGAAAAGAGCAAGTATGTCATTTGTTCTAAGAGAATTTTATGACAATGGAAAGGTAGCAATATTGGTACCTTAAGTTAGACTAGAATAGGCAAAAAATTTGATCTATAGCAACTGTGTAACTACTACCAGTTTCTATTTCATTTTGGATACATGGGTGATAGATGATTGTGATTTGTATTTGTGTGTTTTTCCTTTAAGGCAGGAAGTTTGTTAGCATCCTGATGTGCTTTTGGTATCTGACCAGTGCCAACATCCCCAGTGAAACACTGAGTGGAGCCAGCGTGTTCCAGGTTAAGCTGGGCAATCAGAACGTGGAAACCAAACAGCTTCTTAGTGCAAGCTATGAGTAAGTCTAATCCCATTTCATTGTTTCCTTTCTCCAGAAAATGGATGGTAACATGAAAGTATGGAAACAAAAGGGAGCTTTAGGAAGAAAGCATTGAAATTTGACAAGTTATTTATGGAGAGAAAAAGTCATAATGACACATTGGCCATGCAGCAGGCGTGTTCAGAACATAGAAGGAGGTAATATTTCTGAATGTCACTAAGCAGTGTGTCAGCCAACTGTTGGTGCATTACCAGCCACTGCAAAGCTCAGTAGCTTTAAACAGTCCATTTATTTTGCCTATTTTACTGCTCGGGAATTTTGGGAAGGCTCCGCTCTGGGGTTGTCTCTGCTTCACCTGGCATCAACCCAGGTGACAGGCTGGAGGGTTCATTTCCACGGTGGCTTCTTCACTGACACATGTGTCACCTTGGTGCTCTTTGGCTTCTCCACATAATGTCTCATTCTGCAAGACTTTTCTTCATGGCAAGGGCTTGTGGTAGTCTCAGCCAGTCACATGTTTCCTGGTGGTTGGCTTTCAAGGGGCAGAAGACAAGATACCTGAAAGGGCTATGCCCAGGGTTCGAACAACATCATTTCTGCCATAGTTCATTTGTCAAAGCAGTCACAGGACGTGCACAGGTAAAAGGGCCTGGAGAGACTCCACGTCTTTAGGGGCAACAGCAAAGGCACATTGCCCGTGAGCGCTGTGGATGGGAGATACGCTGATGGCTCAGGTTGGAAGATGAAATCTGCCATAATTGGCACGTGGACTGTGCGCTCACTAGACATTTATTGACCATCTCCCATTTACCAAGTACCCTAGAAGGGGTTCAAATCCAAAATTAATGGGTTCCTGCCCTTAAGGATTACCATCTAGTGGGAGGTTAGCAAATTATTTAAAAGAGACACGAGTTTGAGATGACATTTATGATTAAAGATATTCCCTGCTAAGACCACAGGCAGTGCGTAAGCTCTGTTACTTTCAAGATTGATCTAATGTGTATGAACCAGCTGACACTGAAATCCTGGTTTCAGCACCATATCCCATACATTTCTCCTCGTATTGGGCATATGTTATAGCTAGTATTTAATGACAGACTAATACCCCAGCTTCTCATAGGATTAGCAGATGTAGGAGATCAGGCCATTAAAAATACTCATTTTAGTTGAGAATGTATAGTACTTTGGATTTTGTGAGACTATTTTTTGTGAAACTTCTTTTTATTTTGATTTTTACCTACCATTGGCCATTAGCTTATTGCCAACAATTTCCTCTGATATACACTTGCAAATTAGTTATCTAAAGAGTGTTTGGACTGATGTAAGATTCACATTATTTGACTTTTTTCCCCCTAGATTTCACCGGGAGTTTACACAAGGGGTAAAGCCTGACTGGACTATTTCACGGATTGATCACTCCAAGTTACTAGAATAATCTTTTCTTGGAAAAATCTGCTTATTGGACTTTTAGCAGTTGCTGTGAGAAACTGAGGAAGAAAATTTTTGGATCAGTCGATGTTCAGTTAGTCAGGCTTATGGATTACTTTTGTATCATTATACTCCTGGTGGTGAACTGGCACGATACAGTAAAGCGCTCTCACAGACTGCTGTCGCCTTCTGTGAAAGAGGTCCAAATAAACTGCGGCAGCCCACTGCTGGTGTCATGTTCACTGTCGTTGCGTGTGTGTGTGTGTGTGTGTGTGTGTATGTGTGTGTGTGTATACAAACTAATTGTATAGGCAATAAAAGAGGTACTGAAAAACTACACATTTCTAAATTAATAGTCCTCAAATATTTTATTTGCTGTTAATACGTTTAAACCAATAATTCAATATATGTAAGGTTTTTATTTTTTATTTCTTAATTTTATTTATTAATTTCTAGAGAGAGAAGCCTCAATTTGTTGTTCCATTTATTGATGCATTCATTGGTTGCTTCTTGTATGTGCCCTGACTAGAGATCAAACCCCCACAACCTTAGTGCGTGGGGATGACGTCCTAACCAACTGAGCTGCCCAGCCAGGGCAAGGCTATTTTTAAATATCAGTGCTACCCTGGCTGCATTGCTCAGTTGGTGTCATCCTGTACACCAAAAGGTTACAGGTTTGATTCCCCATCAGGGCAATACCTAGGTTGCAGGTTCCACCCTCAGTTGGGGCACATGCAGGAGGCAACCAGTGTTTCTCTCTCTCCCTCTTCCTCTCTAAAAGCAATAAAAACATCCTAAGATGAGGATTAAAAAAAAATCAGTGTTACTATTTGTTTACCTCTTTAGCTAGATGAGAAGAATAGAATTATAGCAGATTGGTCACTGCACAGTGAATTTGAAACTTTCTAAAGTACAAAGAGGAAAAATAAATAAACAGGTCATCAGCCACCTGTTAGATAATCTCCATCTTATACTTGAATTTGGAGTCCTAGAAGTTGGGGTAGAGGGGATAAAAACAATATAAGAAATGTCAAAATTTTAAAAATTAATTAGAACTATAAACTCACATGCCCAAGAAATTCAACAAGCAGATTAACACAGAACCTCACTGAGTACATCACAAAGCATTGAAAACCAGAGAAAATTATAAAAGCAGCTGGAGAAACAAAACAACATTCTATACAGAGAATGATCATTTTCCTTGAACTGCAAATCAGAAACCTTGGAATGATGCCTTTAAAATGCTAAAAGAAAATAACCTATTGAACAACAATTCTATATTCAGCAAAATTATTCTTCAGAAAAGGTGAGAGAAGACTTTGTCAAAGACAGTTTGTTGACAGACCTATTTTACAACTGTTCAGGACCAAAGGGGCAGAAGAGACTCAGCAATGGGTGGGGCAATTGATTATCTAAGAAATTGCTCACAAGATTGTGGAGGCTGGTATGTCCCAAATCTGCGGAAGAGACCAGCCAGCCAGAGACCCAGGGAAGAGCTGCTGCACCTCAAGATGAAGGAGTCTGGCAGCGTTCCTTCTGGGGGGTTGGTCTTTTTCCATTAAGACCTTCAACTGATAAAAAATTCCCAACAAACAAGCCCTGGACTGGATGGCTTCCAGGTGAATATTACCAAACATTCCAAGGAGAACTAACACCTCTCCTCAAACTATTTCATAAAATTCAAGAGGGGGAAAGGCTCCCAAACCCATTTTACAAGCCAACATTATCCTAATTCCAAAATCAGATAATGACACCACAGAAAAAAATTTATAGGTTAATGTCCCTGATGAACATAGATGCTAAAATCCTCAACAAACTATTAGCAAACTGAATATAGCAATGCATCAAAAAGGTCATGCACAACGGTCAAGTGGGATTTATTGCAAGGATGCAAGGTTGGTATAACGTTCACAAGTCAATCAATGTGATTCACTACTTAAACAAAATGAAAGATAACCACATGGTCATATCCATAGATGCAGAAAAAGCTTTTGATAGAATCCAGCACCATTTATGATAAAAACAGCAAAGTGGGAATAGACGGAACATACCTATACATAATAAAGGGCATATATGACAAACCCACTGCCAGCATCATATTCCATGGGCAAAAACTACAAGTGTTCCCCTTAAGATCAGGAACAAGACAAGATTATCCACTTTCACTTATTCAACATGTACTGGAAGTCCTAGGCATAGGACTCAGACAAGAAATAAAAGGCATCCAAATGGAAAGAAAGAAGTAAAACTGTCTTTATTTGCAGATGACATTATACTGTACATAGAGAACCCCAAAGCTTCCAGCAAGAAAGTACTAGAATGATAAATGAATTCAGCAAAGTAGCAGGATATAAAAGTAATATCTAGAAATCGGGTGCACTTTTGTATGCCAATAACAAACTAACATAAAGGGAAATTAAGAAACAATCCCATTTACGATTGCTTCAGAAAAAATAAAATACCTAGGAATAAACCTAAACAAGAATGTAATAGACCTGTACTCAGAAAATGATAAGACATTGAAGAAAGAAACTGATAAAGATACAAGTAATTGGAAGCACATACCGTGTTCATAGACAGGAAAAATTAACATCATTAAAATGTACATACTACCCAAAACAATCTATAGATTCAAGGTAATTCCTGTCAAGATTCTAATGATGTATTTCACAGAACTACAACAAATATTTCAAAAATTTATATGGAACCACAAAAGGCCCTGCATAGCAACAGCGATCCTGAGAAAAAACTAAGTTGGAGGAATCACGCTACCTAACATCAGGCTATACAAGGCCATACTATTCAAGACAGCATGATACTGCGTAAAAACAGACACATAAATCAATGGAACAGAATACAGAGCCCAGAAATAACCCTCCACCTTTGTAGTCAATTAATACTCAACAAAGGAAGCAAGCACATACAATGGGCTAATGGTAATTTATTCAATAAAATGGTGCTGGGAAAATTGGACAGATACATGCAGAAAAATGAAACTAGACCATCTTACGCCACACACAAGAATACATTCAAAATGGTTTAAAGACTTAAATCTTCAACCTAAACCATAAAAATCTTAGAAGAAAACATAGGCAGCAAAATCTGACCTTGCTCATAGAAATATTTTGTTGGATATATCACCCCAGGCAAGGGTGAAACAAAAAAAAATAAACACATGGGACTATATCAAATAAAAAGTTTTTGCACAGCAAAGGAAATCATCAACAAAATAAAAACACAACACACAGAATGGAAGAACATATTTGCCAATACATCTGATAAGGGGTTAATATCCAAAATTTATAAAGAATTTCAAAGCTCAACACCAAAAAAACCTAAAAACCCAATTAAAAAATGGGCAAAGGACCTGAATAGACACTTCTCCAAGGAGGACACATAGATGGCCAATAGACACATTAAAAGATGCCCAATGTCTCTAATCATAGAAATGCTAATTAAAACCACAATGAGATATCTCACACCTGTCAGAACGGTTATCAACAATAAACCAACAAACAAGTGCTGGTGAGGATGTGGAGAAAGGGGAGCCCTTTTGCATTGTTGGTGGGAAGCAGTAAAAGAGGTGAGTCAAAAAAATTAAAAATGGATCTGCCTTTGGACCCAGCTATCCCACTCCTGTGAATACATCCAAAGGAATCAGAAACACTAATTTGAAAGAATGCAAGCACCCCTGTGTTCATTGCAGCATTGTTTACAATCACCAAGACATGGAAGCAGCCCAAGTGTCCATTAGTAGATGAGTAGATAAAACAACTATTGTACCTTTACACAGTGGGATACTACTTGCTGTAAAAAGAGAAGAAAATTTCACCCTGTGTGACAATATGGATGGACCTGGAGAGCATTATGCTAAGTGAAATTAGCCAGTCAGAGAAAGACAAATACCATATGGTTTCATATGTGGAATCTAATGAACAAACTGAACTAACAAGGAAAATGGGGAGGTTAAGGGGTGGAGTGATTGAGCAAAAACAGAAAAGGGCTCCTGGACACGGACAACAGTGTGGGGACTGCTGGGGGAGGAGGGTATAAGAGGACTAAACAGTAATGGAAAAAACAATCAAGATTAAATTTTAGCCCTGACTGGTGTGTCTCAGTGCCTGGAGTACTATGAGCCAAGGGTCATTGGTTCAGTTGCTAGTCAGGGTGTGTGCCTGGGTTGTGGGCCAGGTCCCCTGTGGGGGGTGCATGAGAGGCAACCACACATCAATATGTTTCTCTCCTTCTCCCTCCCTTTCTCTCTCACTAAAAATAAAATAAATAAAAATCTTTTAAAGAAGATTAAATTTTTAAAAAAGACCTTCAACTGATCGAATGAGGTCCACTCACATGATGGTGGGTAGTCTGCTTTACTCAGTCTGCTGACTCAAAGGTTAATCTCACCTAAAAAGTATCTTCAGAGAAACGTCTAAAATAATGTTTAACCAAATATCTGAGTACCATGATCTAGTCGAGTTGACAGATAACATTAACTACCACAAGTATGATACACAACTACATACTCTCCCCTTGACTAAAAAAAAAGTTAACACTCTGCCATATTGTTTCATCTCTCTACACACACACACACACACACACACACACACACACACACACACACACACACAGAGACTAATCTGGTACTAGATTCTAGGGGTTTCCCCACAATGTCGGGCAAGTCCGGGACACCATCTGGGTATCAACAATTCAACTCAATTCTAACACTACCTGGGAACGGCACCAGATTCACTGATTAAAGGTTCAGTCCTACAAGATCCCCCCCTCCCTTCAGATGCCAACCACAAGCCCAGGCCATCACCTGGACTTCAACAACTGACTCTAGATTGGAGGTTGCAATGACCTCCCTCCTTTGGTTCCATGAATTTGCTACAGCAGCTCACAGAACTCAGAGAAGCAGTCTCCTTACAGAGTATCCATTTACATAAAAGGACGTGACTCGGGAGCAGCCAGATGGAATGGATGCACAGGGCAAAGTATGCGGGGAGGGGTGTGGAGCTTCCGTGCCCTCTGAGTGTGCCACTCCCCACAGCCGCAGGAGCGCGCCAAGCTGGGAGCTCTCTGAACCTCGTCCTTTTGGGGTTTCATGGAGGGGTCGTTACATAGGTGGTTGATTTCACTATTGGCTGTTGGCTGTTGATTTAACCGTTGGCCCCACTCTCCTCCCCAGAAGTCAGGGAGATGGGACAGAAAGTCCCAACCCTCT